AAATCCTATATTGTCTATTTTATCTTACTTTACTTTTTTATTTGCTTGAATAATATACCAAAATGTTACATACCAGTTTCATTTCGCAAGTGTCTACACCAAGTTTCTACAAATCACAGCAAAAACTACACTAACTAATGTGGGTAAAAAGTAGACAGTAATAAAAAAAAAAAAATAAAGACAACTGAAGCAAATAACAAACAATGTGATGAATAAATTAAATAGAACCAAATAAATAAATACAAAATAAATGAACAGTGCTTTAAGTTTTTCAGGTCACTCAAACAGTTTCATCCAAGAAAGAAATTCAACAGAAATTGATAAAAGCTGCATTATTTTCTCTGTACGAATACAGTGCATTACTTCTCTGGAAACCCATGTCTCTCCACATCAGAAGGATCAATATTAAGAAAGAGCTGAAGGTTATTATAACGAAGCACCTGATCACAGTGCAGGATTGTGTTGTTCAGCTGTTTATGAACCATTAAGAAGGCTTTGCAAATACCCTGTCATTGGATGGAAACTGATCCTGGACTGACAGCAAACCGCTGCTTTCGCTCTAATGTTTCATTCTGATCTGCTGATGTAATATTTATGGCTTTAGAGTCAGAATGTGCTGACTTTCAGTGTTATTGGTGTTTGTTTCGGTGTGTAATGCTTCAGCAGACTGTAGTATTTGTACTTTAGAGATGATCAAGGTCAGTTTATTTATGGCTGTATTTGAGCAATTATTCACCATCGTTGGGTTACAAATGAACAAAGACATTTGTGCTCCCGTTACAGCTCCCTCGTTCTTACCTAATTCACAATTTTGAGTTGCTAAAGAGTCACAGAGGTGATGCTTAAACACGAGAGGTTTGCTGATTGCCAGCCTGATGATTGCTACATACAATTATAAAGAGAATATCATTATAATTGTGTGTTTGGGACATGGCTTTTAATAAGAAGACTTTTGTTTTTGTAATCAGGCTCTCAAAAATTATATACTACAAATTTCGATTTAATTTTATTGGCCAATATATTGGTTTTCAAATATAAAAAATCATTGGTTATCATGGCTGCATTATATATATATATATATATATATGTGTGTGTGTGTGTGTGTGTGTGTGTGTGTGTGTGTGTGTGTGTTTAAACATTTAAACCAATAGACCTCGATCACAATCAGCACTTCTGAGAATATAGAAACTAAAATGGCCCTCTTTTATATTTGACTAAGTGCATCATGTGTATCTGAAGTGCACTGTGAACACACTATTTATACTACAGACAAGAAATGTCCAGGGTTTTTGTTTTTTATACTGTTATACTCTTACTTTCTTGATTTCATCATTCCTACATGAAGCACTCTATGATGAAGGGTTTGAAAACACATCCACGTCACGATCCTTCATTTCTCATGCAAAGACAGCAGCCAATCAGAACACTGGCTGTTCACACTGAAGTGCCACTCGAAACAGACAGAAAATGGTCATTACTAAATAAATGTTAAAAATCCCTGTCATGACCCCTTTAACACCAGTCTGTGAACTTACATGTGGTAAAGAGCTCCGGAAATGTCCAATCTGAGATCAGCAGAGGAAGAGATGAAGAGGAATGGAGTGCAATAATGAGGTGCGACTCGGTAATCCATTCATTTGTCAGAAAAATCCGACCTAGTTGTCAGTAATCCATTAAACTGTGCTGTCAGGTGATATGCGCGCGTGTGCACGAGCATCTGCCCATCATCATCATCATCATCATCATCGATCCTCCATCAATCACTGACCTCTGATCAGAACACACACACACACACGACAGCCCCATGATGCATCACTCAGGCTCGGGTCTGTGTTCCTCAGGAGTGAAAACATGTCGGTGCCTGTTATCCGCCCGCGGGCGCGCGCATTCGCCGTGCACTGCAGACAGATGTAGAGAAACAGCGCAAGTTAATGGAAAGTTCGAGTAGAAATGGAGAAAAGGCACAATCCACGGCATCTTCAATCACGACTATTCCAGTGTCCGCCTAATAAACCTCGGAGATGAGAGTTCTGGTGTGTGTGTGTTACCGCGGGATCTCATCGAGCCTGATGTTCTTCTGCCATTAGTGTCTGCGGCTCCGTCTGACGTTACCATGGCGACCGCTGACAGTAGAGGGCGCTCACACACACACACACACACGCTCTCTCTCTCTCTCTCACACACACACATAGAAATTCATGTTTCGTCTGGTTGTGCGTGTAACAGCATGTGTTTGTATAGTAAGCCAACATCATGTCAGATATACTGCACACACACACACACACAAACACCATCTGACTGACATCATGTGTCGTTCTGTTGATGAGTCGGCTGTGTGTATTACTAACGGCCAGACATATTGAACATCAACACATAGACGTCATGATGTGTGATTATTACTGTAAACCATGATCATCGTGGCTCTTCTGATGTGATCTCTGACCTCTATGTCTCTGACCCAGTCCTTCAGATCCAGGTTTGTCTCGTTTCTCCGGCTCCGGAATCCTCACGACTCTCGCACTCGTGTTGTTTGAAGACGTAAGAGTGTGTGTCACTCACCGATCAAAAAAAGTTTAGGCGGGACAAAACCGTGGGCCGGGTTCGGGCAGATAATCATGTTGGTTACACTGGTCCGGGCTTTAAAAGCCACGGGTCGGGTCGGGTCGGGTCGGGTCGGGCTATAATTGTCAGGTCCGCTGAGAACTAAGTGTGCTCGTTGCACCGCGGCGTTGGACTATTTTCTTTAATCTTCTTTAAGCGCAACAGAGCAACTGCGTCTAAAGTGCTGGAAAAGAGAGAGTTAAAGTTCCTGTCACGATATGGAGTTCTTCTGAGCTATCCGGGATGCTGAGATGATGGAACTGATCAGGAAGATTATTGATAAAGCAATCTTTAGTGGCAGAGGTTAGATCTAACATCGGCTTTGCTGCTTTGGCTAAGTGAAGTTTACACAAGACCAGATAGTGATCTGAGATGTCATCGCTCTGCTGCAGAATTTCAACGGCACCAACATCTATTAATATTAGATCTAGAGTATGATTACGACGGCGAGTGGGTCCAGACACGTGTTAGTGTTTAGTGGACTCCAATAGTGTTTACATCGTCTTTAAATACCAATCCCAGTGCATCTTGTTCATTATCTACATGAATATTAAAATCACCAACAATTAGGACTTTATCTGCAGCCAGGGCTAACTCTGAGAGAAAGTCTGCAAATTCTTTAATAATTTCATCATTTACACTATATATTGTTACACTAAGCACAAACACTTCAAAAGAATTAAATTAAACCAGCCTGTGCTTTAAACCAGTCTAAACTATAAAACCAGTCCAAACCAGCCTGTGCTTTAAACCAGTCTATACTATAAAACCAGTCCAAACCAGCCTGTGCTTTAAACCAGTCTAAACTATAAAACCAGTCCAAACCAGCCTGTGCTTTAAACCAGTCTATACTATAAAACCAGTCCAAACCAGCCTGTGCTTTAAACCAGTCTATACTATAAAACCAGTCCAAACCAGCCTGTGCTTTAAACCAGTCTAAACTATAAAACCAGTCCAAACCAGCCTGTGCTTTAAACCGGTCTATACTATAAAACCAGTCCAAACCAGCCTGTGCTTTAAACCAGTCTAAACTATAAAACCAGTCCAAACCAGCCTGTGCTTTAAACCAGTCTAAACTATAAAACCAGTCCAAACCAGTCTGTGCTTTAAACCAGTCTAAACTATAAAACCAGTCCAAACCAGCCTGTGCTTTAAACCAGTCTAAACTATAAAACCAGTCCAAACCAGCCTGTGCTTTAAACCAGTCTATACTATAAAACCAGTCCAAACCAGCCTGTGCTTTAAACCAGTCTAAACTATAAAACCAGTCCAAACCAGCCTGTGCTTTAAACCAGTCTAAACTATAAAACCAGTCCAAACCAGCCTGTGCTTTAAACCAGTCTAGAACTCTACTTCCAGGAACCAGAAGCAATGCATGGACCAAATCTTTGAACTGTACAACCTTTCTAAAATCACCTTCATTAAAATTGTAACCCTTCTCGATTTATGAATTTGATTCATCCAGTATCATCTTACTTTATTAAAAAACATAATTTTGCTCCGATCAGACAGTTAAGTCATGGGTCTTTAGATGGGAAACAGCATTGGCTATCAGTCATGAGGAGATCAGTCTGTGGCGACACCCACGAATATTAATATAGATCATTAATTAAACACACTGCCTTAATGAACGTGTCCGGTGTGAACCGTCAGTATTACAGGAACCGCGGATCTGCTCTGAAAGCCGTCGGTTATACACAATATTTCCTCCTTACCAACAATAAATGCTTTAGAGAAAGAACGGTTCCAATTATACTGTTGCAATAATCAGTCGATGCTCTAGAACGCAGGAAACCTGGGACATTAGTCGCCAAGAGTGAAGTGAAACGTCTTTTTACAAATGTTTGCACATTTTGAATATTAATATTAGATATAATTGTAACACTTGGAAGACTAATAAAAATAATTTTAATTGAAGAATAGTGTTACTGTGATGACGTGTGGAGATGTTCATTAGTCTGGGATGTGAAATAAGGACAGAACATATTTGTGCTTAAATCTCCAATAATCTGCGTGAGTGCCCCGGTTACCGTCACATCTGGACATGTGGCAAAAAAAGTGACTATTTTAATATCTTTGTTACATTTAGTCACTATAGTAATAATTATAAATTATGCATGATTTCATGCAACCAACCAAAACTCTATTCCTACAGTAAGTGCGTTAATGTAAACCAAAGCGTTCACTAATTAAAGAGCCGACACATCTTACCCGACGCTGCCCCGACCATATCTATCAAACAACACATTTGAGACGGCATATTAAATAAAAAAAAACAGGAGTCTATTATTATATTTCATTACCATTAAACAGACACAGATCTCACATTCAGCTAATTATAATTACATACAAAAAGTCTACTTTATCATGATACGGATGTGAAGGAAGAACACAGGAGATATAGAGACAAAGAAACGTTTAATGAACAGATCACAAACAGTAAGACGATTGATCTGTCAAAATACGATGATCATTAGGAGGCATTGAAGGGAATGTGAAGGCAAAGTTAGCGAAAAAAACAACATTACATCATCACTGAAGGCTGACGCTTGTTCAGCATCCACACACAAGGGGGCGCTCTTCAGCTGGGGCTCAAACAGCAAACACACCCTGGAAAAGTATGTGTGTGAGAGATCAGCGGCCTTACTCACACACACACTTACACACAAACTCTCTCTCTCTCTCTTGCACACACACACACCCACTCTCTCTCTCTCTCTCACTCACACACACCTTGTAACAGCAGCTCCGCTCCAACGTCTCCTTGCACTGTATGCTGTGTCACACACACACTTTTACAACTAGTTTTAGGAACCTGAAAAAAGTCTTGACTTTCCATTTTCATGAATGCAGTAAATGCAGTTTCTGAGTAAATGTTGAACAGCTGCTCTACCTCTAAAACACAGACGCAGGACAGCGCCGTACGGAGGACAGCCACGAGTGCGTCGCTGCAGAAGCTCGTCTAATCTCGCCACTAGATTACTCCCAAGTTTAACCCCTTCCACACTCAGTCCGATGAGCTAAAGCACTGATGTGTGGACACTATTTCTGAAAAGGCCAATTTATCTCATGCAAGACAATCCTCTGTAGATAAAGTCTTTGATACAATAACTGCACTTTCTCATAAAAAAAACCCCCAACAAAACAAAGTGTGTCCATTCTGATATCAATCGTTTTCACGTTTCAACCGTTGGAGGATTTACAGTGACTGTAGATCATGGATCATGAGGACACAATACAATAATGAGCATTAATAAGCAGAAAGACTAATGTCACTTAACTCTAAAACAGTGTTTGTTTCGGTCCATGTGTGTTTTGTAAATTATTCATGGAGCTCTGTTGCTCGTCTCGAAGTCTTCAATTTGATGAACAATAAGGGAAATGATGAAAATAAAGAAATGGGATAATGAAAATAATCCCATGAAAACCTGTGAGGAAATTCCTCTGTCGAGGCGTTCGCTCCCTCCGCTTGCTTCTCCACCTTCGTTAATCAACCTTTTTTTCACTTGGATTCTTGTGTGGAGCCGGTTCTCCGTGGTCTTCTGCGTGTGGCGTTCCCTCCACGAGTCTCTGCTCCTCCTCCTCCTCCTCCTCCTCCTCTTCATCAGTGAGGGCTTCTCTCTTCATGTCCTCGGACCCGTCGTCAGACTCGGCCGTACAGATGCCGTAACACATCAGGCTGATGACGCCGAGGGGCAGACCGAAGAGAAAGCAGGCGAGCAGCGGAGAACTGCGAAACACAGACTGAGCAGAGAGGCACGCTTTTAAACACATAGCCATTTCATAAACATCACAAATGCATTGATCTATTCCCCATTTGAATTGTAATATTTCCATGCCATTGACCAGGTTATAGAAAGTAAACTCAATTTTAATACAATATTTTAGTAAACCCTTTGGACACCGCATCAGTTAAGAGACAGAGAGAAACGAGTGAGAAGTCATGCTCCACTCGAGCTCTTAAAAATGTAAAAAAGATTCACCTCTCGAGAGAACCAAACTCGGCTAAACCGACATTAAATTGAAGATAAAAACTTACGTAACCTCGGTTCCCTGAGATAACTGGAACAAGTATTGTGTCTTTGCAAGATGCTAAGGGTAAAACTCCTGTTTCTCCGAATTCTGAAGCCTTGCAGTCCCACAGCCATTACGGACGAGCTCATTGGCTGCTCCGTGGGAACCGCACAAACCAATGGCGAGGCAGGGTGTCTGTGCGAACCAATGGCGGCAGATCCAGCGAGTGAGCACAGAGCTTGCCGAAAGGGGCAATAAAGCAGCTCATTTCGCCAGTCGTGAAGCGCAATAGCACGGCCGTCAACGCAATACTTGCATTAGCTTGAGGATGACCTCATAGTCGTTAGGACCAGACCCGAGGCAACAAGCGCTGATGGACAGCACTTACAGGTCACCCACTCGCTTGACCGATGCTAATGCTAGCAGTAGTGTGGTCTTAAGTGAAAGCTGACTGTAGCGGCTCGAGCCCTGAGGACTGTGGAGAGGTCCCATGGGGGGTCAGAGGCCGAGGAGGGTTGAGGCGTCTTGCCCCTTTCAGGAAGTGGAGCCAGGTCGCTTCTGCCCAGAGACTGGCCGGCCACAGGAGTGTGGTGCGCTGCTATGGCCTCCACATAGACGGAGCCTGCGTCCATCAGCTCTCGTAAGAGGGAGAGTACCAGAGGTAATTTACATGATAAAGGGGCCTGATTCTGGACTGAACACCAGTCAGAGAAGATGGACCACTTAAGAGCGTAGAGACGTCTTGTGGACGGAGCTCTAGTCTCTGAGAGAGTAGTCAGGACTCTCGCTGGGAGGTCCGTAAGTTCCAGTTGAGGGGCCATGTGTAGAAGGCTGGGAGAGGAGGTCTTTCCTCAGAGGAATTGGCCACAGGGCTGCGATCTGCCGAATCACCTCGGGGAACCACGGTTGCATCCGCCAGAGAAGGGTCACCAGAAGGACAGCACGCCCGTCTTCCCTTAACCGTGTGTACGGAGACGAAGAGGTCGCCCTCCGCCTTGCCGAAGCTGCTCCAGAAACCGCTGGAGGGCCCATTGATTCCCCTGGGAACACGTTGTCCCGGGAGAGCACGTCTGCTCCCTGGTTCAGTCTGCCCATTGTGGCCATAGAAGGCATCAGTCTAGTTGTACAGACTCGACCTGAGTCCACCATGGTGGTTTATGCAGGACACTACCGCCACATTGTCTGATCTAACTAAGGCGTGGTGTCCTATTAGGTCTGGAAGGAAGGTTTTGAGGCCCAGATAAACCGCCATTATTTCGAGGGAGGTAATGTGCAGCCGCTTTTCCGTGCTCGAGCAGGAGCTGTAAATTGGTCTGCCTTCGCACAGAATTCCCCAACCTGTGTTTGAGGCGTCCGAGACCACCTTCCTCCTCCAGACCAACCCCATGCTTACTCCAGGGCCCTGATGCAGACGTGGAGGTGACCTGAACGCCATGAGTGAGCTGGAGCATGAGCCAATAAATCAGGCAAGCTAGAGTCTTCACTGCGTAACAACTGTAGAGCTCAGACTCAGCGTTCGTTTCAACCTTTAGTTCTAGTAAAGTATTAAACACTGATCACGATAATTGTTTACTAAAGCCAGGTTCAACCAGTAACATCAACTCCTTCAACTGTCATTCAGCGTAAAGAATTTAAATCATATTTTAATTAACAGTTCAATATAACTTCTCCATGAATTAAGTTAGTGTCTTAACCTCGACTCACCATTATTGTTGATCGGGCATCAAACGCCACACGCTTGATCCTCTGGAATATCCCATCTCCTCCATAAGCCTGTTGGGAATATGATGCAGGATGTTAACCATTTGGAATTGGATGAAATTAACTATTCTCATTTAATTAACAGTTTGCAACAGGGTCATTCTGTGTCAACTCAATCAGAGGTCCCCAGCTCAATTTTTTGATTTTGTTAATATTTTTTTCTGTACAAAAACAGCCAATATATTAAATGTCATTGATGGATATTCACCAAGAAATCCACTATTTTGTAGAGGAGGGTCAAAATGACAATTTTCACCTGAGATTTGGAGCCAACTTACAGGAGGGTAAATTACTTTATGGCAGCATCATTATTTATCTATCACCGGATCCATCTATCAGTGGATATTTTAGGGATCAGCTTGTAGACGCAGACATGTACTGTGTGTTGAGTGTGTGGCCAATCAGAGGTGTTTATACATCCAACGCTCAAAATGCTAGAGGGAAATACTGGAAATGCATCCCATTTTTAAAATTTCAGTACCAACTTGGTAGCGAAGTCAGTACTTTTGGCAACACTAATCAGTTGTAATAATAGCCATGCAAACTTGATGCAAAAAAACACAAGAAGTGCCTTTTCCCTTTTTTGAATTCTCACTGCTGGCATATACTGATGCAAAGACTGCTAAAGTAAATAGATTTCACTAGAGCTACCAATCTCTATGTGAAAATAAAATCATAATGCTGCCATCTTTCTAAAATCATTTTTACACCTCTGTAATTTGGCTCCAAATTAAGGTAAAACTTGTCATTTTGACCCCCATTTTGAACAAAAAAGTGGACTATTCAGTAAAAAAATACAGTGACATTTAATACTTTGGCTTTCAGCTCTAGTCTTTCAACAGAAAATGAACAAAATTAAAAGTTGGAGTTTGTTACCATTTTTAAACTATACTGTTTAACAAACTAATAGTGAAAACTACTTCTAAAGCAAGTATTGATCTGAGTTGATGTTAGCTGCGAGCGAGAGACGGAGTGAGAATGAGCTGTTCACCGGAGCGCTGCCGTCCACAACACTGGTGAAGAACATCAGCATCTGCTCTAGACTCTCCACCGGCTCGTCCGGCACGAAGTACTGCTCGTTCGAGGTGTTGAGGACGAGGAGGCTGGGCACCGGCACCTCACTGCAGACACACGAGATGAAGAGCGAGGGTGCTGAGATTACAGTATAACCATCTCCTCCTCACACTTGTGCACCTTCAGTAAAGCAGGAGGATGAATCTGTGCCATCATCTGATCCAGACACTCACCTCATGATCAGGCTGTTAATGTAGTCGTTACCGTCCATGTGGCCAAACTGGAAATCCCTGGAACGCAGGAAGAAAGACAGCATTTGAAAATGTGCAGTATTTGTGCTCCACATGTGGAAAATAATTTTCTGTCAGGGGTCTTTTTCTCTTGATTGACAGTAACATGTTATCTCATTGGAGGCCCTGAACCGAGGATCTGAACCGAGGCCCTGAACCGAGGCCCTGAACCGAGGATCTGAACCGAGGCCCTGAACCGAGGATCTGAACCGAGGATCTGAACCAAGGATCTGAACCAAGGATCTGAACCAAGGATCTGAACCGAGGATCTGAACCAAGGATCTGGACCGAGGATCTGAACCAAAGATCTGGACCGAGGATCTGAACCGAGGCCGTGGACCGAGGCCCTGAACCAAGGATCTGAACCAAGGATCTGAACCAAGGATCTGAACCGAGGATCTGAACCGAGGATCTGGACCGAGGATCTGAACCGAGGATCTGAACCGAGGATCTGAACCGAGGATCTGAACCGAGGATCTGAACCGAGGATCTGAACCGAGGATCTGAACCGAGGCCCTGAACCGAGGATCTGAACCGAGGATCTGAACCAAAGATCTGGACCGAGGATCTGAACCGAGGCCGTGGACCGAGGCCCTGAACCAAGGATCTGAACCAAGGATCTGAACCAAGGATCTGAACCGAGGATCTGAACCGAGGATCTGGACCGAGGATCTGGACCGAGGATCTGAACCGAGGATCTGAACCGAGGCCGTGGACCGAGGCCCTGAACCAAGGATCTGAACCAAGGATCTGAACCAAGGATCTGAACCGAGGATCTGAACCGAGGATCTGAACCGAGAATCTGAACCGAGGATCTGAACCGAGGATCTGAACCGAGAATCTGAACCGAGGCCCTGAACCGAGGATCTGAACCGAGGATCTGAACCGAGGATCTGAACCGAGGATCTGAACCGAGGCCCTGAACCGAGGATCTGAACCGAGGATCTGAACCGAGGCCCTGAACCGAGGATCTGAACCGAGGATCTGAACCGAGGCCCTGAACCGAGGATCTGAACCGAGGCCCTGAACCGAGGATCTGAACCGAGGCCCTGAACCGAGGATCTGAACCGAGGATCTGAACCGAGGATCTGAACCGAGGATCTGAACCAAAGATCTGGACCGAGGATCTGAACCGAGGCCGTGGACCGAGGCCCTGAACCAAGGATCTGAACCGAGGCCCTGAACCGAGGATCTGAACCGAGGCCCTGAACCGAGGATCTGAACCGAGGCCCTGAACCGAGGATCTGGACCGAGGATCTGAACCAAAGATCTGGACCGAGGATCTGAACCGAGGCCGTGGACCGAGGCCCTGAACCGAGGATCTGAACCGAGGCCCTGAACCGAGGATCTGAACCGAGGCCCTGAACCGAGGATCTGAACCGAGGCCCTGAACCGAGGATCTGAACCGAGGATCTGGAACAAAGGAACTGAACCGAGGCCCTGAACCGAGGCCCTGAACCGAGGCCCTGAACCGAGGATCTGAACCGAGGATCTGAACCGAGGATCTGAACCGAGGATCTGAACCGAGGATCTGAACCGAGGCCCTGAACCGAGGATCTGAACCGAGGATCTGAACCGAGGATCTGAACCGAGGCCCTGAACCGAGGATCTGAACCGAGGATCTGAACCGAGGATCTGAACCGAGGATCTGGACCGAGGATCTGGACCGAGGATCTGAACCGAGGATCTGAACCGAGGATCTGAACCGAGGCCCTGAACCGAGGATCTGAACCGAGGATCTGAACCGAGGCCCTGAACCGAGGCCCTGAACCGAGGATCTGAACCGAGGATCTGAACCGAGGATCTGAACCGAGGATCTGAACCGAGGATCTGAACCGAGGCCCTGAACCGAGGCCCTGAACCGAGGATCTGAACCGAGGATCTGAACCGAGGCCCTGAACCGAGGATCTGAACCGAGGATCTGAACCCAGGATCTGAACCGAGGATCTGAACCGAGGCCCTGAACCGAGGATCTGAACCGAGGCCCTGAACCGAGGCCCTGAACCGAGGCCCTGAACCGAGGATCTGAACCGAGGATCTGAACCGAGGCCCTGAACCGAGGATCTGAACCGAGGATCTGAACCCAGGATCTGAACCGAGGATCTGAACCGAGGATCTGAACCGAGGCCCTGAACCGAGGATCTGAACCAAGGATCTGGACCGAGGATCTGAACCAAGGATCTGGACCGAGGATCTGAACCAAGGATCTGAACCGAGGATCTGAACCGAGGCCCTGAACCGAGGATCTGAACCAAGGATCTGAACCCAGGATCTGAACCGAGGATCTGAACCGAGGCCCTGAACCGAGGATCTGAACCGAGGATCTGAACCGAGGATCTGAACCGAGGCCCTGAACCGAGGCCCTGAACCGAGGCCCTGAACCGAGGATCTGAACCGAGGATCTGAACCGAGGCCCTGAACCGAGGATCTGAACCGAGGATCTGAACCCAGGATCTGAACCGAGGATCTGAACCGAGGATCTGAACCGAGGCCCTGAACCGAGGATTCTTAACCGAGGATCTGAACCGAGGCCCTGAACCGAGGCCCTGAACCGAGGATCTGAACCGAGGATCTGAACCCAGGATCTGAACCGAGGATCTGAACCGAGGATCTGAACCGAGGCCCTGAACCGAGGATCTGAACCAAGGATCTGAACCAAGGATCTGGACCGAGGATCTGAACCAAGGATCTGAACCGAGGATCTGAACCGAGGCCCTGAACCGAGGATCTGAACCAAGGATCTGAACCAAGGATCTGGACCGAGGATCTGAACCGAGGATCTGAACCGAGGATCTGAACCGAGGCCCTGAACCGAGGCCCTGAACCGAGGCCCTGAACCGAGGATCTGAACCGAGGATCTGAACCGAGGCCCTGAACCGAGGATCTGAACCCAGGATCTGAACCGAGGATCTGAACCGAGGATCTGAACCGAGGCCCTGAACCGAGGATCTGAACCGAGGATCTGAACCGAGGCCCTGAACCGAGGCCCTGAACCGAGGCCCTGAACCGAGGATCTGAACCGAGGATCTGAACCGAGGATCTGAACCGAGGCCCTGAACCAAGGATCTGGACCGAGGATCTGAACCGAGGATATGGACCGAGGATCTGGACCGAGGATCTGGACCGAGGATCTGAACCGAGGATCTGAACCGAGGATCTGAACCGAGGATCTGAACCGAGGCCCTGAACCGAGGATCTGAACCGAGGATCTGAACCGAGGCCCTGAACCGAGGCCCTGAACCGAGGATCTGAACCGAGGATCTGAACCGAGGATCTGAACCGAGGATCTGAACCGAGGATCTGAACCGAGGCCCTGAACCGAGGCCCTGAACCGAGGATCTGAACCGAGGCCCTGAACCGAGGATCTGAACCGAGGATCTGAACCAGGATCTGAACCGAGGATCTGAACCGAGGATCTGAACCGAGGCCCTGAACCGAGGATCTGAACCGAGGCCCTGAACCGAGGCCCTGAACCGAGGCCCTGAACCGAGGCCCTGAACCGAGGATCTGAACCGAGGATCTGAACCGAGGCCCTGAACCGAGGATCTGAACCGAGGCCCTGAACCGAGGATCTGAACCGAGGATCTGAACCGAGGCCCTGAACCGAGGATCTGAACCGAGGATCTGAACCCAGGATCTGAACCGAGGATCTGAACCGAGGATCTGAACCGAGGCCCTGAACCGAGGCCCTGAACCGAGGATCTGAACCGAGGATCTGAACCCAGGATCTGAACCGAGGATCTGAACCCAGGATCTGAACCGAGGATCTGAACCAAGGATCTGAACCAAGGATCTGGACCGAGGATCTGAACCAAGGATCTGAACCGAGGATCTGAACCGAGGATCTGAACCAGGATCTGAACCGAGGATCTGAACCGAGGCCCTGAACCGAGGATCTGAACCGAGGATCTGAACCGAGGCCCTGAACCGAGGCCCTGAACCGAGGATCTGAACCGAGGATCTGAACCGAGGATCTGAACCGAGGCCCTGAACCGAGGATCTGGACCGAGGATCTGAACCGAGGCCCTGAACCGAGGATCTGAACCGAGGATCTGAACCGAGGATCTGAACCGAGGCCCTGAACCGAGGATCTGAACCGAGGATCTGAACCGAGGCCCTGAACCGAGGCCCTGAACCGAGGATCTGAACCGAGGATCTGAACCGAGGATCTGAACCGAGGCCCTGAACCAAGGATCTGGACCGAGGATCTGAACCAAGGATATGGACCGAGGATCTGGACCGAGGATCTGGACCGAGGATCTGAACCGAGGCCCTGGAGCTGAACTCGAGGGCTTCGAGAGTTTCTGAGTCCATCACCTGTTGAACTGCTCCCTGTGCTCCGCAGCCACCCTCTGGATCAGTCCTTTTAACCTGGAATACAGGGAATCAATTCTATAGTCAATTCTTCAAGAACTAAAGAAAAGGTCAGACATCGCTTCACTCCGGGGCCGTCTGTACCTCATGCTTTTCTCTGTCGGATCCTTCTCGTCAGTAACGGCAATCGCCACCAATTTACCTGTCGCACCGAACAGAAAGAAAGGAAAACAATAGACATTTTCTTGACCAAAACAAAAACTTGTCGACCAACTTTCACTCATTTAAATTCATCAAGGAGATACAGAAACACCCTTTAAGCTGTTATATGTATATGATGTGATCAGTGCTAAAGACTATAATGGATACCACTTGATAAAAACAATCATTTCCAAAAGCAAGTTTACACATAAGGTTAACCCTAATGCTTTTCAACAGTTGGGTTAAAGCTCACGTCGCGGTCACTCACCGGTTTCTCCCAGCTCGTACAGCGTGAAGCCATCGATCGGCAGATAACTCTGGAAACGCTCGCGATTTACCCAGGATGACAAGCTGCCATCTTCATACTCTGAAACATGAATCTGTAGTTATTATGACAATAAGAATCTGTGAACAGCTCTGACAAACGGTGCTGACTTTCCATAGGCTAAACAAAAAACGGCATTAAGTTTGAATAAAAGTCTTGCCCTTCGCTTCGCAGCGGCACTAAAGGCCTGTTCAACCCAAGAACGATAACTATAAAGATAAATATACATTAGCATCCACACCAGCGGTCGATATTGTTCTGGTTATTCTAAGAGCGTGCTTGTCTGCCTCTTTAAAAGCTCACACTCGATAGCTCAGATGGGTTCTGATTGGCTGTCGATGTTTTTATCGTTCATCAGATGGAAAAATCGTTCCGAAAGTGATTCCATTGATATCGTTTATCTGTGCCGTTATCGTTATAGCCGTGGCTCAGCTATTCTTTAATATTGAGGAAGATTTTTAGAACTATATCTTTACTGGTATCTTTATAGTTGTCGTTCTTGGCGTGTTCAGGCCCACAGATACCTTTTAAAAACGACACAAAACGCAATGTTAGAGATCTTTTATACAAGTATGATGTGAAGTGTAAAGAGCTTCATTATGTAACTGTGGTGGGCCAGTAGAGCTCAGAGAGAATTACTGGGAAACTAACTAGTAGTAAATACAGAGGAAGAGATGAACGGTTCTCGAGCCGCTACAGCGATTGAGCAATCATCACACGTTAAAGACTAAAACAAAAACTAGACAATGGTTTAGTTTTCTTCACTTACCATCATATGTGAAATAGTTTCCATCTTTGAAGACAACCACTGCAGGCAATTCAGGCAGAGTCACAGACTGCAGAAGACATTTATGGAGAGTGTTTACACAAACAGACATGGATATATGAATTATGAAAGTACGAGCAGCAGTATCTGGAAATGATTCACTTCACCTCTGTTAAGGCGTCTTCAGATGCAGAGAAGAAATATGTGTAGACAATGAGCTCAGACGCCACCTCGATGTATTTCTCCTGAAACACAACAGCAACATGATTGATAGAAGAGTTAAAGATGTGTGTGTGTGTGTGTGTGTGTGTGTGAATGAGAGTGTGTAAAGTAAGATTCAGCACATTTATATTTGACCAGGAACATCACTATTAATTACAATGAATTTTAAAAAGTATTCATATTCCTACAGATTATGTTGCCAAAAAATGCTTTATATATTTTCTGACCAGCTGAATTTTAGCCACCTCAGTTCAAGCTCAATCTCTTCCTCTTTACTACTAGAAACAGCACAAAAAAACAAGAATGAACATCAGAAGGAATGTTGATTGGTATACAAGGTTTGACCCCCATGCTAAAGTTGCCTAAAAAGAGGAATAAAAAAAATCATCTTTTGGATATTGATCTTAATGCCTTAATTAGAAAAATGAGGAAAACTCCAACCTTTAAGGACACCAATTTTCTTTGTGAATGAATAATGTATCATAAATAAATAAATGTTTTTCCTTAAAATACAGGGTGCATAAGTCAGGACACCCCTATGTTAAATTCCCATAGAGTCAGGCAGATTTTTATTTTTAAAAGCCAGTTATTTCATGGATCCAGGATAATATGCATCCTGATTAAGTTCCCTTGGCCTTTGGGATTAAAATATCCCCACATCATCACACACCTTCAGATTAGCATGGTTTTACTTCAGTTAGCCTAATAGCTGGTTTGATTTCATTAAAAGATGATCTTATGGAAAGTACCCCATGCCAATCTCTAGCTGTGGTGAGTTTTCCTCATTTTTCTAAATAAGGCATTAAGATCAACATCCAAAAGATGATTTTTTATTCCTCTTTTTAGGCAACTTTAGCATGGGGGTCAAAACTTATTCACACCACTGTATAACACTAATGCAACTGTTCATTTACTGCGTATTTTTTACTTTTCTGAGAATGTATATTTGTCTCAGTGAAGTAATTGTCTGTATAAACAGTCGCGCTCTTCATTTCAATATATCACGCTTTGTCCATTTATTGTGCCAATTGTTAACATTACTGTTGCCGTTTTATTGCGGTGTCTTGGCTCTGGTTCGGTGTAGATATGAAGATCAGCTCACTTTAAGAGGAGATTCCCCTCCGACATACACAAACAGTACACTGTGTCTCTTCAAGACGTGCTCGAACATCTGTCGACTCGGGAGCGATCGCACGGACGGTCTGAAACACACACAAATGAGAACATGACTCCAGCAAATTAGCTCAAAAGGGAAATATGAATAATTAATCATAACTTGTTATAATTATAAACATTTGGATCAGTTAACTGAATTAACGTGATGTAGCTGAACTAATATTACAATCATTGAATCTGTTCGTCCAGCAAAACTCCGTATTAATCATCTCTTAACTCTCAGAAAGGATATTTTTCGTGGCCACAGAATGTAGCTGTGATCATAATGTTGATTCACATGAAGTGACCAGAATCAACAAACATGAACGTAAACACATTTTTATTTAACTAAATAACAAATACAGAGCTAATCTAAACAAACACATTCACACAGACCTAACCAAAGCCAAGGAAGAGTCTTTAACCATCAGTTAGGAGTCGTCGGCCGCTTATAATGAACCTCTGCTTCGTCAACTGATCGCACAATACTTGTACTGCCTTAGACATTGAAAAAGCTTCCGGATCCAGTTTCAGAAGAGAGTCTTGATGGTTCTGTGGGTCGATGGTGTTGAAGTTGAAATCCGTTTCTTCCGCGTTGAATGAAGAAATTTTGAACTTGTGATTTTAGTCTGGCTCTGCTTAAACATGACCCTAACAGCCTGACTGTAATCAGACTAGTTGCACAATCACAAAAAAGTCACATGTAACCACATCAATCGGAATGAATTGGCCAGATCTGATTATTCTGATAATTCAGATTACACGGAGTGGTTTATTCCGTTTGTTATCCGATTGAGAGGACATATAAAATCTTGAACGAATCGAAAACCAAAACTGGAGAGTCCTGCGCAATGAGTAATGACGTAGAAATATCGTAATGACGTATGACGCGTGGAACGAGCAGTTCTTTCTTTCGAATAAAGTGTAGTTCACAATCATAAATGAGTTTCCTGTCGATCTGAAATTGAGTGTAAAGATGTGCGGGAGTCCCACCAGTCCTCGTCAGACGCTTCTCCCAGGAGTCGGGGAGCCCACGCTAACTTGAGCGTTCGGAGGAGTCTTCGAAGGTTGGTCATTTGCATATGTAACTGGATGAGGTATTGATGCAGAAACTATTAAAAATTCTCATAATACTGAAATGTTGCATTGGTACACAATAGAATAGACACTATACACGACAACGGTAATCATACACACAATGTGCTGGAGATGTGCATGATCCTTCAGAGCAGACTGATCTCATGAAGTAGTGTGTGTATGCCACGCCAATTCGTATTTCCATTTTTGGCGTGCTATCAAGACGCATAATCGCCTTTCAGCGTGTTTATGAACGCCGTTGACTTAATGTTATATAAATATATGACTTACCTCAACCCCGTCCCTAAACCTAGCCGTCACTGGGGTTAATGGCATTTATGACTGGAGATTTGACTGCGTGTTCAGACACGCGGAATGACGCGGACGTTAATGGCGTAGACATATACGCATACTCGCGGATACACGCGGATAGCTCAAAATGCGTAGAGATAACACGCCACCTGACTCGAAAGTGGCGTATATGTTTACGCAAAAGTCATGATGTCATGTTGCTCAGAGAATGTTTCCTATGAGTGAGTGTGAAGAGTCCTTTATGGGCATCATGTGTGTTTCAATACAGGAATGGAGTGCGTCGACTCTTTCACATTCTTGGTCGTAAAACCATGGAGCAGAGGCCTGGTTTTATCATTTTGGGGGGTGTCACAGGCACCTTGTTTTGTGGTTGGGTGAAAAGTTTTAAAGATTATTTGTTAATAATATAAGAAGTGTCTGATTCGTCTCAGTCACTACATGGCATTGCATCCATTACCGAGGAGCTTTCAGGTATAACTATGCTATGAGTGTCCAATCCTGCACATTCAACCTGCTTCAGTTCCCCTACTTATAATGCACCCTAAAACTATGCACTCTTTGTGTGAATAAAAAGTACAAACCTTTAAGTGTAACAGAAGGCTGTAGGTTTTGGGACGCCATAAAAATGCCTTGAAGAAAAGGTTCAATATGGCTGCTGTGGGCAGGAGTGGTTCGTTGGGCTCCATTCATGCCCTTTGTATTTTACAGTGTTTTTTAATGCTATTAAGTGCTTGGACCCTCAACGTTTTTCTGCATAATAAGGTCAACCTGGATGGTCCGAATGAGGATGAATATACTAAACTTTATTTTTTTGGACATGGACACGTCTTTCTCCACTCTACCTGGGCATCTAAAAGTCTGTGCAAGTATGACAGAAACGGCGCTAATAAGTCATCACCACGTCAGGAGAGAGCGCATGTATCTAAAGTAATAATGGTGCTAATACTTTTGGCTGGAGACATACATCTGAACCCAGGCCCCACGCTTGAACACCAGGCAAGCCAAGAGGAGGCAATGCCTGACATAGGTGTATCCCTGCAGGAGTTACCGCCCTTGTTTACACCGGCGACTCACGCACTGGAGCTGGAGGAAATTTTGGCCCACTGCCAGGTGCTGCCAGAGCAGCGTCATGCTGGGAAGCGGAGCACATCAGAGCCCCGTGTGAGGACATCGGATTGTGACCTCTCCGGTGAGTTATCCCGCTTGATTGATCCCCAGCTATGGACTGGCTCGGGCGATACTGTGACTGTGGGAGGCGCCGAGGGCTTTTGCTCTCGATCGGATGACTATGCACCGGGAATAGCGATGGCGGAGCATGCTAACCTCTGTAAGTCTGGGGTAACAGTCAACACGCTACAAACACGCTCGGACAGTCGCGCTGCACAGAAACAAAGGTATTATCTACAACTTCAAACTGCTAATCACGCCCGTGTGCTTTGGGATGTAAAGTGCAAACCAACGGGAATAATAGGTGGACAGTTAAACATACGCAGCCTTATCCCTAAAAGTGATCAGGTCTCTGCACTTCTTCTGGACTCTAACTTGGACTATCTCTGTTTAACGGAATCATGGCTTCATAGAAACATTCCGACAAATATGATTGACGTTGCTGGCTATCAATGTTTTAGAAAGGATAGAAATACAGGTAAGGGGGGAGGAGTATTAATATACATTAAAGACAAATTTAAATGTCGCTTAATTGATTTGAACACCCCCCTAGAATGTCTAGCCTTAAATGTAACTCTATCGCCTACTATGAATTTTAATATTGCTGTCCTCTATAATCCCCCCTCTTATAAGGTTAAGTTTTATGATGACCTAAAAGCTGTAGTTAAACAGCTGGACTCTTATAGAGAGACAATATGGTATGGAGACTACAATATTTGTTGGTCTGATAAAAACGCTAAACATAAACTTAAAGCACTTATGACAAAATTTAACTATAGACAAATGATTGAAGGACCTACAAGAATAACAAGACAGACTAAGACCCTCATTGATTTGGCATTTACTAATAGACCTGAACGAATTACAAGGACGTATAATTTGATTACCGGACTCTCTGACCATAACATGACGCTGACTGTTAGGAAACTGACGAAAAAGCGTCTGCAGTACTTTGGTAAATCTGATCATGAAAAAACACATTTCATTCTTCCTAAATGTAAGACTGCACAATTTGAAAGAGAACTTAAAAATATAAACTGGGGACAAATTTTGACACTAGATGATGTAGAGGAATGTTGTAATTCCTTGACTACAGCTATTACATGTCTGATGGAAAAATTTACAAAGCAGATCAAATTGAAAAAAAAGGATTATACGGTGCCATGGATAAATAATGAATTACGAATTCTTATGAAGAAGCGAGATTTAGCCTTGAAAACTTCTTTAAGATCTAAACTCAATACAGATTTCTTGATTTATAAAGGTTTGAGAAATAAAGTTTTATCTGAGTTGCGGAAAGCAAAAGTAACATATTACACTAATTTAATTGATAGTTCCAAAGGCATAAATAACTCACTTTGGAAGCATTTAAACAATTTGACTAATAAATCAAATAAACATAAAAAAATCACAGAACTTAATATCAATGGCAAAAGCATAACCGATAGTGCCACCATAGCTGATGAATTCAATTCTTACTTTGTACAGTCAGTTGAACAATTATCAAAAGACTTCCAGCCCGTTGATCATTTTAATCTTTCTCTGAGAGACACCACAACAGATTCATTTTGTATTAAAGAGGTGTCAGAAAAAAAAGTTGCAAATATAATTGATGAACTTTCAAATTCCAAGTCTAATGATATTTTTATGATGAATAGTGGTTTTCTTAAAAATTATAAAGATGTTCTTGTCAAACCGTTGACTCACCTCATTAATCTCTCCATAAGAACCAATACATTTCCCAGTGCATGGAAGAGAGGAATAATTATACCTGTGCTCAAAGGTGGTAGCCAAAACTCTATAAGCAATTATCGCCCTATATCGATTTTACCAGTTTTATCCAAAATAATTGAAAAAGTAGTAGTAGTGCAACTGATGGACCATTTAGAAGAAAAACAGCTCCTTCATTGTTACCAGTTCGGGTTTAGACCTGGTTACTCGACAGAAATAGCAAACTGCTGTTTAATCGAAAATGTAAAAAAGTCCCTGGACAAAGGTAATGTGGTAGGAGCCGTATTTATCGACCTTACAAAAGCTTTTGATACGGTCAATCATAGTTTGCTTTTATCCAAAATGTTACATTTTAATTTCTCAAATGACGCTGTGTTGTGGTTTGCATCCTATCTTCGCTCTAGAGTGCAGTGTGTCAAGGTTGATCAAAACGTATCTGCATTTTCAAATATAAAAATGGGCATCCCGCAGGGCTCTATACTTGGCCCTTTGCTTTTTAGTCTTTTTATAAATGATCTACCTCTGCACTGCTCAGGTGCCAGTTGTCAGCTCTATGCGGATGATGCAGTTCTTTATGTGCCCGCCAAGTCACCTGAGCAGGCTGCAGCTATACTGTCCACTAGTATGTTTGACATTCAACAGTGGCTCTTTCAAAATCAATTAGTTTTAAATTTCTCGAAAACAGTTTCCATGTGCTTTTCCATTAAAAAAATAGAAATAAAAGGAAGATTTAATATTAAGTTACAAAATAAAGAAATTCATACAGTTACAGAATTTAAATATTTAGGATTAGTCTTAGATCCTCAACTTAAATTTGAAAAACATATAAAGAAAATCCAGAAAACATTACAAAGTAATCTCAATTGTCTTAAATTAATTAGAAGTTACATTCCAAGCCAGGCAGCCTTAATGTACATACATGCTATGATATTTTCTCACATATCATATTGCATGACATCATGGGCACAAGCAGCTCCCACTACAATCAAACGCATAAAATCCTTATATAATAGAGCAATAAAACTTTTGGATAAAAAACCATTAAGTTATCATCATTGCAGCATCCTTAAGAAATATAATTTAATGAATTTTGATAGTTTTATGACATTTTCCTTTCTTAAACTAATTTATAAGTGCATTAATAATCTAGCACCTGAGCCACTAAGTACATTTATTGTGAGACAGGACAACATCCGAGTCACTAGGAGCTCCACAAATCTTGACTGTAAAATATCATACTGCAGGACCAGTTTTGGACAGACGACCTTCTCTGTAAAAAGTTCAAAACTCTGGAACTCTTTACCTTTCGAAGTCAAGACTGTATCAGACTTTAAGATGTTCATTTCCAGGCTGAAATATTGGTTAAAAACAAACCAAAACTGTACTCATTTTTAACTACATTTAATTATTTGAGTTGTATATGATATGTATGTATGCTTATTAGTATTTTTATTATTAGTATTATTATTATTATTTTTTTTTATTATTAAATTTTTTTTTATATATATAATTGAAGTAGCTAAACATGTAAATTTTATTGTGTATAAAAGCCCTTCCAGGGACAGGAGTTGAAAATTAGCTATAGCTATAAACTTTATATGCAAAACTTCAGTGACATGCTTGGTCTTGACACTATGTTTGTTTGCATTGTCCCTGTCAAATAAATAAATAAATAAAATAAATAAATAAAAAGGACCACTTTGTCATTTAGTAACACACATTCTGTCACCGTAACCCGGCCTGTCAATCATCCCGTCACAGTTAGTGCCCTCATTTACACACACTACACATTCAATTTATACTACTTACTTCTTCCTACCATATTAGAAAGAATAGAAGCAGCCTGTTGATCTGCCGGGCGTGGGTTGTTCATGGCATTGTTCGATGCCATTCATAGTCTATAGCCAAACATGTCTGTTTCGCTGATGTGCTTTTGCTACCCTTTGTCACCAGTTGTATTCATAATTTTAAATGGACAGAATCTCTAGGCGCAGCCAGGGGCCGGGGGGTCGTGTTGGCCCCTTCAGACCAGGACCCCCAGCATGCACTGGGGCGGTTTGCAGCGAGTGTGAAGCGGCTGGGATGAGAATCAGCAACTCCAAGTACGAGGCCATGTCCTCAGTCGGAGAAGGGTGGCTAGCCCACTTCAGGTTGGTGGAGAGACCTTCCTCAAGCGGAGGAGTTTAAGTATCTTGGGGTCTTGTTCACGAGTGAGGGAAGGATGGAACGGGAGATTGACAGACGGATCGGTGCAGTGATGCGGTCGATGTACGGGTGTGTCGTGGTGAAGAAGCTGCAAGCCGAAGCTCTCGATTTACCGGTCGACCTACGTTCCTACTCTCACCTATGGTCATGAGCTGTGGGTCATCCCTTAGAGATAGGGTGAGGAGTCACTCGGGTCACTCGGGAGGAGCTCAGAGTAGAACCACACCGAGAGGGCCAGCTGAGGCGGCTCGGGCATCTGATCCGGACGCCTTCCCGGGGAAAACCTTGGACATGCTGGAGGGACTATGCCTCTCAGCTGGCCTGCGAACGCCTCGGTGTCCCCCCGGAGGAGCTGGAGGGAATGTCCAGGGAATGGGAAGTCTGGGCATCTCTGCTTAGACTAATGCCCCGCGACCCAGCCCCGGATAAGCAGAAGAAGATGGATGGATGTTGTGACAAAGATGATGGTTCAGTATGTGGGTGATGGAAGGGTCGGCAAATACCGGGGCTCGTGCACTTTATTTATCACTTCTCTTTTCGCATCGCTTTCTTGCGCTCTTACAAAGTAACTCAAAATCAAACACACAATGTAGATGTAGAACGATACTCTTTCCGCTGGATACAGCTTCACAGGACACCGACGAGGCAGCACTCTCCGCCCTCGCTCTCCCGCTACAGTCTTCGCTGAACCACGCCTCCCTCGCCACAGATGTTTTTGCAGATGACATTTTTTATCAGGTTAGATATTTATTTTTAAATAAATAAAAATAAATCGCCAGTCCCACAAACATTCAGGCTCTGCGTAAAGAAGGCCTTGCAGGAACAGGACTAATCTCTCAGAACTGGTGACGACATAAGATAACTGACTTATATATATGCAGTTTATTCCTACTCTCTACACACATTCACTCGTAAAAAGATAGTAGTAATCACACAAAGCATCTCGTAAGATAGCAACTTTAAGGAAAGAAAACAGGAAAAAAAATGTAGCCAAAGGTTCAACAGCATCTGTATTAATGTCTCACCCAGCCACTCTGTTGGCGAACTCGATTATGTCGTCTTTGGTTCTCGGTCCTTTGTAATTGTATGCCAGCTCGCCCTTCAGCCTGAGAGAGAGAGAGAGAGTTTAAGAAACAAATCTTTGTTTAATCAACAAGTATTTATTTAAATCAACACTGTAAGCAAATGCAATATATAATCCATGACTAGCTGTGCATTGTCGACGGACGAACCACCGATGCATTCAGATCATGTAATTCACACCTACAGTGTGTGTAAAAGTCTACACACCCCTGTTAAAACTGCAGCTCTCTGAGATTGTCAGCTCTTTTTACACCATTAATGTTATATTGAAGCCAACAAAATTCATGTAACAAACAAATAAAAACGTTTAAGGAAGAAAAGAAATGATCTGTTTGCTTAAGTATGCTCATCTTTCTAGTAATGCTGAAGAGCTTGATCCACTTGCTCCTGTGTGTCTGATGGGTCTAAACTCTGCAAGCCCTTCACAGCGGGACACGGGTTACTCAGGTTTGCACTGCACAGCATCAGGAAGATCAGGCCTTTCCTATAGCTGAACATTCAACTACTCCTCGCCCAGGACCTCGTCATTTCTAGGCTTGGTGGACTTACAACATGTGCAATTAAACCTCTACAAATCATCCAGAAATGAGCAGCACTACTGGTCTTCAACAAGTCCAAGAGAGCCACGTCACACCGCTGTGTCATGCAAATGATGCAATGCATCCTAAGATATGGCTCCAGCAACTGTTGTGAATTTAACACCCATAAAGGAATGTTTTCTATGGTTACAGAAGTACACAAGACTATTGCCGTAATCTCCAGAGAGCATGAAGTCACTGACAACATCCCAGTCCTGCTCTCTGTCAGCATCTCACACACTCAACAAGACAACACACTCTGACAGACCTGTGCTTTATATGAATCCTAAATGTTTAGCTGCTGGATGGAGTGTTATGATTGAGAGATATAATAACGAAACCCCAGGGTGCCAATAAAACCAATAATATAACAATTGAATTGAACACATATAATGATAAACATGTATTTTGATGCCGTTTTCTTGGGGGAGAGATTTTGTCCTTCATTAGGCAAAGCATTAGCCTCAGGGGGAGTTTCATCAACACCTGCCTCCCCTGATCCCAGAATCCTACGGGAAAGAGCGACAACCCCGACTCCATACAGAGAAACACAGATACCAGCTCGACCATTTAATGGCAGTGAAAGTCACCAGCTTCAAGCTTTAACAATAAACAATATCCGTCCAACTGATGTAATGGATGCTAATATGACTTCATCATCTGACAAACACTGATTTATATAAAGAAACGACAAACGGCAGCATAGTAAGGTGTAGACAATGTATAGGGATGGGTTCCTATAGTCACCTAGTTGCCCATCAATTAGGTACACTTGTTATCTGATTTTTTTTTTGTAGACACAATCTATACTGTATCAGTGTATCAGCGTCAGTCATTATAATCTGAACATGCACTGCATACTGTATCAGTGTAGACAGCATCAGTCATTATAATCTGAACACGCACTGTATACTGTATCAGTGTAGACAGCGTCAGTCATTATAATCTGAACATGCACTGCATACTGTATCAGTGTATCAGCGTCAGTCATTATAATCTGAACACGCACTGCATACTGTATCAGTGTAGACAGCGTCAGTCATTATAATCTGAACACACACTGTATACTGTATCAGTGTAGACAGCGTCAGTCATTATAATCTGAACACACACTGCATACTGTATCAGTGTAGACAGCGTCAGTCATTATAATCTGAACACACACTGCATACTGTATCAGTGTAGACAGCATCAGTCATTATAATCTGAACACACACTGTATACTGTATCAGTGTAGACAGCATCAGTCATTATAATCTGAACACGCACTGTATACTGTATCAGTGTAGACAGCGTCAGTCATTATAATCTGAACACGCACTGCATACTGTATCAGTGTAGACAGCGTCAGTCATTATAATCTGAACACGCACTGTATACTGTATCAGTGTAGACAGCATCAGTCATTATAATCTGAACACACACTACATACTGTATCGGTGTAGACAGCATCAGTCATTATAATCTGAACACACACTGCATACTGTATCGGTGTAGACAGCATCAGTCATTATAATCTGAACACGCACTGTATACTGTATCAGTGTAGACAGCGTCAGTCATTATAATCTGAACACACACTGCATACTGTATCAGTGTAGACAGCGTCAGTCATTATAATCTGAACACACACTGCATACTGTATCGGTGTAGACAGCATCAGTCATTATAATCTGAACACGCACTGTATACTGTATCAGTGTATCAGCGTCAGTCATTATAATCTGAACACGCACTGCATACTGTATCAGTGTAGACAGCGTCAGTCATTATAATCTGAACACGCACTGCATACTGTATCAGTGTAGACAGCGTCAGTCATTATAATCTGAACACGCACTGCATACTGTATCGGTATAGACAGCATCAGTCATTATAATCTGAACACGCACTGTATACTGTATCAGTGTAGACAGCGTCAGTCATTATAATCTGAACACACACTGCATACTGTATCAGTGTAGACAGCGTCAGTCACTATAATCTGAACACACACTGCATACTGTATCAGTGTAGACAGCGTCAGTCATTATAATCTGAACACACACTGCATACTGTATCAGTGTAGACAGCGTCAGTCATTATAATCTGAACACACACTGCATACTGTATCGGTGTAGACAGCATCAGTCATTATAATCTGAACACGCACTGTATACTGTATCAGTGTATCAGCGTCAGTCATTATAATCTGAACACGCACTGCATACTGTATCAGTGTAGACAGCATCAGTCATTATAATCTGAACACACACTGCATACTGTATCAGTGTAGACAGCGTCAGTCATTATAATCTGAACACGCACTGTATACTGTATCAGTGTAGACAGCATCAGTCATTATAATCTGAACACGCACTGCATACTGTATCGGTGTAGACAGCATCAGTCATTATAATCTGAACACACACTGCATACTGTATCGGTGTAGACAGCGTCAGTCATTATAATCTGAACACACACTGCATACTGTATCGGTGTAGACAGCATCAGTCATTATAATCTGAACACACACTGCATACTGTATCGGTGTAGACAGCATCAGTCATTATAATCTGAACACGCACTGTATACTGTATCAGTGTAGACAGCGTCAGTCATTATAATCTGAACACACACTGCATACTGTATCGGTGTAGACAGCATCAGTCATTATAATCTGAACACACACTGCATACTGTATCGGTGTAGACAGCATCAGTCATTATAATCTGAACATACACTGCATACTGTATCAGTGTAGACAGCGTCAGTCATTATAATCTGAACACGCACTGCATACTGTATCGGTGTAGACAGCATCAGTCATTATAATCTGAACACGCACTGTATACTGTATCAGTGTAGACAGCGTCAGTCATTATAATCTGAACACACACTGCATACTGTATCAGTGTAGACAGCGTCAGTCACTATAATCTGAACACACACTGCATACTGTATCAGTGTAGACAGCGTCAGTCATTATAATCTGAACACACACTGCATACTGTATCAGTGTAGACAGCGTCAGTCATTATAATCTGAACACACACTGCATACTGTATCGGTGTAGACAGCATCAGTCATTATAATCTGAACACACACTGTATACTGTATCAGTGTATCAGCGTCAGTCATTATAATCTGAACACGCACTGCATACTGTATCAGTGTAGACAGCGTCAGTCATTATAATCTGAACACGCACTGCATACTGTATCGGTGTAGACAGCATCAGTCATTATAATCTGAACACACACTGCATACTGTATCGGTGTAGACAGCATCAGTCATTATAATCTGAACACGCACTGTATACTGTATCAGTGTATCAGCGTCAGTCATTATAATCTGAACACGCACTGCATACTGTATCAGTGTAGACAGCATCAGTCATTATAATCTGAACACGCACTGTATACTGTATCAGTGTATCAGCGTCAGTCATTATAATCTGAACACACACTGCATACTGTATCAGTGTAGACAGCGTCAGTCATTATAATCTGAACACACACTGCATACCGTATCAGTGTAGACAGCGTCAGTCATTATAATCTGAACACACACTGCATACTGTATCGGTGTAGACAGCATCAGTCATTATAATCTGAACACGCACTGTATACTGTATCAGTGTATCAGCGTCAGTCATTATAATCTGAACACGCACTGCATACTGTATCAGTGTAGACAGCATCAGTCATTATAATCTGAACACACACTGCATACTGTATCGGTGTAGACAGCATCAGTCATTATAATCTGAACACGCACTGTATACTGTATCAGTGTATCAGCGTCAGTCATTATAATCTGAACACGCACTGCATACTGTATCAGTGTAGACAGCATCAGTCATTATAATCTGAACACACACTGCATACTGTATCAGTGTAGACAGCGTCAGTCATTATAATCTGAACACACACTGTATACTGTATTAGTGTAGACAGCATCAGTCATTATAATGGATTCAGTTTGATGATGCCGTTACTTGATTGAACGCCAGTGAGGGCCCTTTAATGCCAGTGGGCGGAGCCTATGATGTGATGTATTGGTCGATGTCTCATTTAGGAGGCAGGCATATGCAAATATAATTGCCTGTGTGATATCACAGATATCGCAATATCAAAACAAGCTGTTTCTGGAGCTAGAATAAATAAATGCTTTATTTGTAATGAGGAGGATGTTTTAATGGTACAAAGAACTCTTATTATGTCTTAAGATATCATGTTCCCTTTTAGATCAGTTAGATGCCAAACTCTTCAACTTTGAACACAGAGACTTTAAAATGTTAATAATGTTGGGGAAAGACTCACAGTTTAATGGTGGGATATCCTCGCACGCCGAACTCTGAGGCCATTCCTGCATCAACACATCAACCACCAGTCACATGACACAGCAAGAACTGTTATTAACATGTAAACAGCACCTGTCAACATTTCATTGGGATTTCATATTATCTGTGTTCTCCTCTTATGTGTTCTGCTGCCTGATCCATATCGAGTTAAAAACATGCAGTTACGTCTAAGTGAATGTAAACTGTGAAAAGAGGATTCGACAGTATTTAGATCTTCAGTTTTATCATTGTGTTATGTTGCAGCTTTATGCTGAAATGTTTTCTCTTCAGTCTCAGTCCCGCTGTTAAGTTAGGGTTAGTTCATTAGGATCTTTCTTCAGTTGTATTCATATTCATAAGCAAGCAATGAGGTACTAGGTACTAGATATTAAAGCCGAAATATATGTATCTATGCAACTTTAATGAAGTAAAATCACTAAAAGCCTTCCTTCCGCTGGATAAAATAGTCCCTGGTCGTAAACGGCATTATTTCGCCATTAGATGGACACACATTCCAACAGATTGAGTATATTATGAATGTAGGACTGACCTGAAGGGAAACGCTGTCTACTAAGTACACCCGCTCACTCCATCTCTCACAATACTCTACTATACGATGAACAATAGCAATAGATTAAACATGTGTTCGCCAAGTTGCCAAGAGCGGTTGCTAGCGGAGTTGTGTAGTGATACAGTACATAGCCGTTTATATCGTGAATAAAACACAGTTAGTGACCAATCAGAATCAAGGATTGGAAATAAATGTTTTATAATGCTTCTTGTTCTTCGGTTTTATTATGAACTGTTAAATTGTTTTCAGAAACTTAAAGTCCCCGTGAACCGGAAGTTGCAGACGACTTTTCTCCAGTGCCGTGACGTATTTCCAAGTGAAACGGAGAATTGAACAGAAGGGTTTTACTCCAGCGCTCCTCCTCTCCATCTCTCGCTCGTAGCAGACGAACGGTTTGAGGGGAGTGGTTAAGCGTTCCCACCATTCCAGACCGGATGTAACTTCTCAGATTTTGATTAAAGATTACCATGGTAAAATTTTTTTATATATATATATATATTTACTTGCACGGGTTAATTGTTCACCACAAGACTAGTAATATGTGCTAACAAAGTAAATAGGTTCAGTTATGATTTGACGGGGACTTGAATGAGGAACACTGTTATTTAATTCTGTGGTGATATATCGCCTTTGTTCCAACTCTAAACCTATTCCTGTTTAAGGTCAAACACTTCAACTAAAACGAATCTGATCTCCAGGCGTTCCTGAGCTTGAGTTTCTGTGACGACAGGACTGAGTCTGAGTGACGAGTCGAGCTACGCAAGAAAAACTAACATTCACTCGCAGTCTTGTGTGGAAACCACTAATGACGACACTAGTGTGTGTGTGTGTGTGTGTGTGTGTGTGTGTGTGTGTGTGTGTGTGTGTGTGCGATCAATCACCTGAGTATGCAGTGGCGTCCATCTTCCCGACTCGCACCGGCGACCCGGAGTGTGCGAGTTCTGCTCCGACCTCCTGCCAGACCGGCTCCAACTTCTTACAGTACCCACACCATGGGGCATAGAACTACACACACACATCAGACACACACATCAGACACACACCACGGGGTATAGAACTAAAGCACAATACACAGCTCAAACACACCACATAAAAACTACAGCACAACACACAGCTAACACACAATACAGTAAAATCATCTGCAAGAAGGGTCACATCACTCACGTCCACCAGCCAGACGTCGTCCATTCGGTTCTCCTTAAACCTGCGGGAAACACAAGATCTACATTTACTGAAGACACTAACAGCAGTCCGACTGTAACGCTTTGTTTACGGCCTTAAACACTGATCTGAGGAACACACTGAGGAACACACTGAGGAACACACTGAGGAACACACTGAAGGAACACACTGAAGGAACACACTGAAGGAACACACAGAGGAACACACTGAAGGAACACACTGAGGAACACACTGAAGGAACACGCTGAGGAACACACTGAAGGAACACACTGAAGGAACACACTGAAGGAACACACTGAAGGAACACACTGAGGAACACACTGAAGGAACACACTGAAGGAACACACTGAAGGAACACACTGGAGGAACACACTGAAGGAACACACTGAAGGAACACACTGAAGGAACACACTGAGGAACACACTGAGGAACACACTGAGGAACACACTGAAGGAACACACTGAAGGAACACACTGAGGAACACACTGAAGGAACACACTGAAGGAACACACTGAAGGAACACACTGAAGGAACACACTGAAGGAACACACTGAGGAACACACTGAAGGAACACACTGAGGAACACACTGAAGGAACACACTGAAGGAACACACTGAAGGAACACACTGAAGGAACACACTGAGGAACACACTGAAGGAACACACTGAAGGAACACACTGAAGGAACACGCTGAGGAACACGCTGAGGAACACGCTGAGGAACACGCTGAAGGAACACGCTGAAGGAACACGCTGAAGGAACACACTGAGGAACACACTGAAGGAACACGCTGAGGAACACACTGAAGGAACACACTGAAGGAACACACTGAGGAACACACTGAAGGAACACGCTGAGGAACACACTGAAGGAACACACTGAAGGAACACGCTGAGGAACACGCTGAGGAACACGCTGAAGGAACACGCTGAAGGAACACACTGAAGGAACACACTGAGGAACACACTGAAGGAACACACTGAAGGAACACACTGAAGGAACACACTGAGGAACACACTGAAGGAACACACTGAAGGAACACACTGAGGAACACACTGAAGGAACACACTGAAGGAACACACTGAGGAACACACTGAAGGAACACACTGAAGGAACACACTGAAGGAACACACTGAGGAACACACTGAAGGAACACGCTGAGGAACACACTGAAGGAACACACTGAAGGAACACACTGAAGGAACACACTGAAGGAACACACTGAGGAACACACTGAAGGAACACGCTGAGGAACACACTGAAGGAACACACTGAAGGAACACACTGAAGGAACACACTGAGGAACACACTGAAGGAACACACTGAAGGAACACACTGAAGGAACACACTGAAGGAACACACTGAGGAACACACTGAGGAACACACTGAAGGAACACACTGAAGGAACACACTGAAGGAACACACTGAAGGAACACACTGAAGGAACACACTGAGGAACACACTGAAGGAACACACTGAAGGAACACACTGAGGAACACACTGAAGGAACACACTGAAGGAACACACTGAAGGAACACACTGAGGAACACACTGAAGGAACACACTGAAGGAACACACTGAGGAACACACTGAAGGAACACACTGAGGAACACACTGAGGAACACACTGAGGAACACACTGAGGAACACACTGAAGGAACACACTGAAGGAACACACTGAGGAACACACTGAAGGAACACACTGAAGGAACACACTGAGGAACACACTGAGGAACACACTGAAGGAACACACTGAAGGAACACACTGAAGGAACACACTGAGGAACACACTGAAGGAACACACTGAAGGAACACACTGAAGGAACACACTGAAGGAACACACTGAGGAACACACTGAAGGAACACACTGAAGGAACACACTGAGGAACACACTGAAGGAACACACTGAGGAACACACTGAAGGAACACACTGAAGGAACACACTGAAGGAACACACTGAAGGAACACACTGAGGAACACACTGAGGAACACACTGAGGAACACACTGAAGGAACACACTGAAGGAACACACTGAAGGAACACACTGAGGAACACACTGAAGGAACACACTGAAGGAACACACTGAGGAACACACTGAAGGAACACACTGAAGGAACACACTGAGGAACACACTGAAGGAACACACTGAGGAACACACTGAAGGAACACACTGAGGAACACACTGAAGGAACACACTGAAGGAACACACTGAGGAACACACTGAGGAACACACTGAAGGAACACACTGAAGGAACACACTGAGGAACACACTGAAGGAACACACTGAAGGAACACACTGAGGAACACACTGAAGGAACACACTGAAGGAACACACTGAAGGAACACACTGAAGGAACACACTGAGGAACACACTGAAGGAACACACTGAAGGAACACACTGAGGAACACACTGAAGGAACACACTGAAGGAACACACTGAAGGAACACACTGAAGGAACACACTGAAGGAACACACTGAGGAACACACTGAAGGAACACACTGAAGGAACACACTGAAGGAACACACTGAGGAACACACTGAAGGAACACACTGAGGAACACACTGAAGGAACACACTGAAGGAACACACTGAGGAACACACTGAAGGAACACACTGAAGGAACACACTGAGGAACACACTGAAGGAACACACTGAAGGAACACACTGAGGAACACACTGAAGGAACACACTGAGGAACACACTGAAGGAACACACTGAAGGAACACACTGAAGGAACACACTGAGGAACACACTGAGGAACACACTGAAGGAACACACTGAAGGAACACACTGAAGGAACACACTGAGGAACACACTGAAGGAACACACTGAAGGAACACACTGAGGAACACACTGAAGGAACACACTGAAGGAACACACTGAAGGAACACACTGAAGGAACACACTGAGGAACACACTGAGGAACACACTGAAGGAACACACTGAGGAACACACTGAAGGAACACACTGAAGGAACACACTGAAGGAACACACTGAAGGAACACACTGAAGGAACACACTGAAGGAACACACTGAAGGAACACACTGAGGAACACACTGAAGGAACACACTGAAGGAACACACTGAAGGAACACACTGAAGGAACACACTGAGGAACACACTGAAGGAACACACTGAGGAACACACTGAGGAACACACTGAAGGAACACACTGAAGGAACACACTGAGGAACACACTGAGGAACACACTGAGGAACACACTGAAGGAACACACTGAAGGAACACACTGAAGGAACACACTGAAGGAACACACTGAAGGAACACACTGAGGAACACACTGAAGGAACACACTGAAGGAACACACTGAGGAACACACTGAGGAACACACTGAAGGAACACACTGAGGAACACACTGAGGAACACACTGAAGGAACACACTGAAGGAACACACTGAAGGAACACACTGAGGAACACACTGAAGGAACACACTGAAGGAACACACTGAGGAACACACTGAAGGAACACACTGAGGAACACACTGAAGGAACACACTGAGGAACACACTGAAGGAACACACTGAGGAACACACTGAAGGAACACACTGAGGAACACACTGAGGAACACACTGAGGAACACAAGATCTACATTTACTGAAGACACTAACAGCAGTCCGACTGTAACGCTTCGTTTACGGCCTTAAACACTGATCTGAGGAACACACTGAAGGAACACACTGAAGGAACACACTGAGGAACACACTGAGGGACACACTGAAGGAACACACTGAAGGAACACACTGAGGAACACACTGAAGGAACACACTGAAGGAACACACTGAAGGAACACACTGAGGAACACACTGAGGAACACACTGAAGGAACACACTGAGGAACACACTGAAGGAACACACTGAAGGAACACACTGAAGGAACACACTGAAGGAACACACTGAGGAACACACTGAAGGAACACACTGAAGGAACACACTGAAGGAACACACTGAAGGAACACACTGAAGGAACACACTGAAGGAACACACTGAAGGAACACACTGAGGAACACACTGAAGGAACACACTGAGGAACACACTGAAGGAACACACTGAGGAACACACTGAGGAACACACTGAAGGAACACACTGAGGAACACACTGAAGGAACACACTGAATGAACACACTGAAGGAACACACTGAAGGAACACACTGAAGGAACACACTGAGGAACACACTGAAGGAACACACTGAAGGAACACACTGAGGAACACACTGAAGGAACACACTGAAGGAACACACTGAAGGAACACACTGAAGGAACACACTGAAGGAACACACTGAGGAACACACTGAGGAACACACTGAAGGAACACACTGAGGAACACACTGAAGAACACACTGAGGAACACACTGAAGGAACACACTGAGGAACACACTGAAGGAACACACTGAAGGAACACACTGAAGGAACACACTGAAGGAACACACTGAGGAACACACTGAAGGAACACACTGAAGGAACACACTGAAGGAACACACTGAAGGAACACACTGAGGAACACACTGAGGAACACACTGAAGGAACACACTGAAGGAACACACTGAGGAACACACTGAAGGAACACACTGAGGAACACACTGAAGGAACACACTGAAGGAACACACTGAAGGAACACACTGAAGGAACACACTGAGGAACACACTGAAGGAACACACTGAGGAACACACTGAAGGAACACACTGAAGGAACACACTGAGGAACACACTGAAGGAACACACTGAAGGAACACACTGAGGAACACACTGAAGGAACACACTGAGGAACACACTGAAGGAACACACTGAAGGAACACACTGAGGAACACACTGAAGGAACACACTGAAGGAACACACTGAAGGAACACACTGAGGAACACACTGAAGGAACACACTGAAGGAACACACTGAAGGAACACACTGAGGAACACACTGAAGGAACACACTGAAGGAACACACTGAGGAACACACTGAGGAACACACTGAAGGAACACACTGAGGAACACACTGAAGGAACACACTGAAGGAACACACTGAGGAACACACTGAAGGAACACACTGAAGGAACACACTGAAGGAACACACTGAAGGAACACACTGAAGGAACACACTGAAGGAACACACTGAAGGAACACACTGAAGGAACACACTGAGGAACACACTGAGGAACACACTGAAGGAACACACTGAAGGAACACACTGAGGAACACACTGAGGAACACACTGAAGGAACACACTGAAGGAACACACTGAGGAACACACTGAAGGAACACACTGAAGGAACACACTGAAGGAACACACTGAAGGAACACACTGAGGAACACACTGAAGGAACACACTGAAGGAACACACTGAAGGAACACACTGAGGAACACACTGAAGGAACACACTGAGGAACACACTGAGGAACACACTGAAGGAACACACTGAAGGAACACACTGAAGGAACACACTGAAGGAACACACTGAAGGAACACACTGAGGAACACACTGAAGGAACACACTGAAGGAACACACTGAGGAACACACTGAAGGAACACACTGAGGAACACACTGAAGGAACACACTGAGGAACACACTGAAGGAACACACTGAGGAACACACTGAAGGAACACACTGAGGAACACACTGAGGAACACACTGAGGAACACACTGAGGAACACAAGATCTACACACTGAAGACACTAACAGCAGTCCGACTGTAACGCTTCGTTTACGGCCTTAAACACTGATCTGAGGAACACACTGAAGGAACACACTGAAGGAACACACTGAAGGAACACACTGAGGAACACACTGAGGAACACACTGAAGGAACACACTGAAGGAACACACTGAGGAACACACTGAAGGAACACACTGAAGGAACACACTGAGGAACACACTGAGGAACACACTGAAGGAACACACTGAGGAACACACTGAAGGAACACACTGAAGGAACACACTGAAGGAACACACTGAAGGAACACACTGAAGGAACACACTGAAGGAACACACTGAGGAACACACTGAAGGAACACACTGAAGGAACACACTGAAGGAACACACTGAAGGAACACACTGAAGGAACACACTGAAGGAACACACTGAAGGAACACACTGAGGAACACACTGAAGGAACACACTGAAGGAACACACTGAAGGAACACACTGAGGAACACACTGAAGGAACACACTGAGGAACACACTGAGGAACACACTGAGGAACACACTGAGGAACACACTGAAGGAACACACTGAGGAACACACTGAAGGAACACACTGAAGGAACACACTGAAGGAACACACTGAAGGAACACACTGAAGGAACACACTGAAGGAACACACTGAGGAACACACTGAAGGAACACACTGAAGGAACACACTGAGGAACACACTGAAGGAACACACTGAAGGAACACACTGAAGGAACACACTGAAGGAACACACTGAGGAACACACTGAGGAACACACTGAGGAACACACTGAAGAACACACTGAAGAACACACTGAGGGAACACACTGAAGGAACACACTGAGGAACACACTGAAGGAACACACTGAAGGAACACACTGAAGGAACACACTGAAGGAACACACTGAAGGAACACACTGAGGAACACACTGAAGGAACACACTGAAGGAACACACTGAAGGAACACACTGAAGGAACACACTGAGGAACACACTGAGGAACACACTGAAGGAACACACTGAAGGAACACACTGAGGAACACACTGAAGGAACACACTGAGGAACACACTGAAGGAACACACTGAAGGAACACACTGAAGGAACACACTGAGGAACACACTGAGGAACACACTGAAGGAACACACTGAAGGAACACACTGAGGAACACACTGAAGGAACACACTGAGGAACACACTGAGGAACACACTGAAGGAACACACTGAGGAACACACTGAAGGAACACACTGAAGGAACACACTGAAGGAACACACTGAGGGAACACACTGAGGAACACACTGAGGAACACACTGAAGGAACACACTGAGGAACACACTGAAGGAACACACTGAAGGAACACACTGAGGAACACACTGAGGAACACACTGAAGGAACACACTGAGGAACACACTGAAGGAACACACTGAGGAACACACTGAAGGAACACACTGAGGAACACACTGAAGGAACACACTGAGGAACACACTGAAGGAACACACTGAAGGAACACACTGAAGGAACACACTGAGGAACACACTGAAGGAACACACTGAGGAACACACTGAAGGAACACACTGAAGGAACACACTGAAGGAACACACTGAGGAACACACTGAAGGAACACACTGAGGAACACACTGAAGGAACACACTGAGGAACACACTGAAGGAACACACTGAAGGAACACACTGAAGGAACACACTGAGGAACACACTGAAGGAACACACTGAGGAACACACTGAAGGAACACACTGAGGAACACACTGAAGGAACACACTGAAGGAACACACTGAAGGAACACACTGAGGAACACACTGAGGAACACACTGAAGGAACACACTGAGGAACACACTGAAGGAACACACTGAGGAACACACTGAAGGAACACACTGAAGGAACACACTGAAGGAACACACTGAGGAACACACTGAAGGAACACACTGAGGAACACACTGAGGAACACACTGAAGGAACACACTGAGGAACACACTGAAGGAACACACTGAGGAACACACTGAAGGAACACACTGAAGGAACACACTGAGGAACACACTGAAGGAACACACTGAAGGAACACACTGAGGAACACACTGAAGGAACACACTGAGGAACACACTGAAGGAACACACTGAAGGAACACACTGAGGAACACACTGAGGAACACACTGAAGGAACACGCTGAGGAACACGCTGAGGAACACACTGAGGAACACACTGAGGAACACACTGAGGAACACACTGAAGGAACACACTGAAGGAACACACTGAGGAACACACTGAGGAACACACTGAGGAACACACTGAAGGAACACACTGAAGGAACACACTGAGGAACACACTGAGGAACACACTGAGGAACACACTGAAGGAACACACTGAGGAACACACTGAGGAACACACTGAGGAACACACTGAGGAACACACTGAGGAACACACTGAAGGAACACACTGAGGAACACACTGAGGAACACGCTGAGGAACACGCTGAGGAACACACTGAGGAACACACTGAGGAACACACTGAGGAACACGCTGAGGAACACACTGAAGGAACACACTGAGGAACACACTGAGGAACACACTGAGGAACACGCTGAGGAACACGCTGAGGAACACACTGAAGGAACACGCTGAGGAACACACTGAAGGAACACACTGAGGAACACGCTGAGGAACACACTGAAGGAACACGCTGAGGAACACACTGAAGGAACACACTGAGGAACACGCTGAGGAACACACTGAGGAACACACTGAGGAACACGCTGAGGAACACGCTGAGGAACACACTGAAGGAACACGCTGAGGAACACACTGAAGGAACACACTGAGGAACACGCTGAGGAACACACTGAAGGAACACACTGAAGGAACACACTGAAGGAACACACTGAAGGAACACACTGAGGAACACACTGAGGAACACACTGAAGGAACACACTGAGGAACACGCTGAGGAACACGCTGAGGAACACGCTGAGGAACACACTGAGGAACACACTGAGGAACACACTGAGGAACACACTGAAGGAACACACTGAGGAACACACTGAAGGAACACACTGAGGAACACACTGAGGAACACACTGAAGGAACACACTGAAGGAACACACTGAGGAACACACTGAGGAACACGCTGAGGAACACGCTGAGGAACACACTGAGGAACACACTGAAGGAACACACTGAGGAACACACTGAGGAACACACTGACTCTGAATGACAGTCTGAATTAAACCTGTTCATCATATACAGTGATCAAGTCTCTTCAGAAGAATTGGATTTAATACTCCATTAATAAGGATTCAAAATCGTTTCGAAGCGTCAGAGTTTATATGGATTTGTCTGTATTTATCTTTATGAGAACGTTAGAGTAATGGATGACAGATTTTCATTTTTGGTTGATTTATCCTTTACATAATGATGAGCATCTCATTGTCTGAAGAATCCGCCAGCTTTCAGAAAACACACCAGTGCAGAGAAGAAAACTACTTGTCAAGCAATTTCATGAGTTTCATTTTAAACAATGCAAACTGTAATCAAGAGCTTTATGGCAGAATTACTCATAAAAAGCACAATCCATTTTTTTAAAGCAAAATATAACAGATACTCAAGATAAAACACATACAGCCATATTTATGAAACACAGACATGAATCATGCATCTGTCGTGTGATCAGATCATCATACAAACCTTTTCAACACTTTCACTCAAACTGAGATAAACTCTGTTTCAAGTGAGCCTTACATTTGTCGACCTTTCTCTTAAATATTGTTCACCTCATGAAAATTAATTTTAAAAAAAATAGCAAACGGGACGGACTATCTTACATGTCATCGAGATCCTGCACATGAGCCACGAGCAGCGGACTGAGGAGAAGACAGGAGAAAACTGCAAACACAGACAAGCACAACATCACTTCATGATAATCATACCTCAGATATGATGATGAGTTATGAATAAAGCATCTGTACCTGCAGTGAGCAGCGCCATGACTGCGAACGAGAAGAAGAAGAAGAAAAAGAAGAAGAGCATCAACAGGAAGTGCAGACAGTAGTGGAGCCGGCGCATGCGCACTGGCCCAGGGGAGCTGACGCTGACGTCACGCTGCCTACGTCACGCTCGCCGCGGCTCAATCAGTCAAGCGTGCTTCCTACATAGTGGACGACATACACTACATAGAGACAGACATTCTGTGTTTTCTTATTGAAACCAGACAAATCTGCAAAAACACAGGCATCAGAGAAACACATACTAACAAAAGACAGATCTTGAACATAATAGCCTATGTTGTGGCTGCAGAAATGTGTAGCTAAATAAAAAGCTAACAAACACTAAGTAACTAAATGTACAAGGACAAGTGAAAGCTTCAAGCTTCAGAGCATTTCAATCATTTAATATGGTTAATAGCATTGCTTGCATGAAGGCTGTTTCTCTTAGTCTGGATTTGAGATGTTTTTCCAAATAATATCATGACATGATCCTTCAGGTTTTGAGGCTCATATATAGTTTGATAAGGGGATGAACATTTATTCTTCGAGTTATTGACTGCATAACTTCAACTGAAGCTGATTTTAGGTTTTAGCGTGTTAATCACACCATAGGACTTGTATTTGTCTGAAACATTGTTTATTCAGTCAAGAAAACCCGGCATAGAGTTTAGCATGAAGTGTTTTCAAGAGGAATGTAGCCTATCTGTCAGGACTGTGTGTGATTCAGGGAGATGTGTGTGTGGTGTGTAGTGCTTTGTGAAATTGTGAGATGTGTGTGAGTGTGTGTGTGTGGTGCAGTGCTGTAGTCAGTGTGTGAACAGTGACACACACAGGCACTAGAGGGCAGCAGAGCTGTTACCATGACCGGTTAACATCTGTGTTGTGGAGCACATCTGGCCTTCAGAAGTTCAGAGACTCGCGACACACACTCGTTTACTCACGACACACACCCATTTACTCAAGCTGAGGGAATCACGGAGCAAAGAGGAGATGAGGAGAACACAGAGCAGGTTACTGTTGATGAAACAACTCCTGAATTCAAATTCTGTCGATTTTATTACGAAATTAAATCAATAAACACCGTTTTGTTATTTGTAAATGTGACGTGCAGATCGCCGACAGATATCTGTTCAGGCACGCGATCATCTTTTACTCTTTAGCCTAATAGTAGGCTACACCAATGAACAAGAAAGAGACGGTATAGTCTAATACTGAAATCAAATGTATAAATACATTTCAGTATTAGACTATACCGTCTCTTATTTTCATCCTAATCGATCAATCAGTGTTTTTTTTAACTGCGGAAAGAGGTCAATAAGCTGCAATAATGTCACATAAGTTACATTTACCTCAGGAAGCCATTTGACCATAGATATCTATGCATTCGACCATAGCACGTTAGCTGGCTAGAAGCATTGCTATAGTGCATGAGTACTTAAGTATTTTAACTTTATTTTACTTTTATGTTTGTTCATATTAACTTAAACAAGGTGAAAAAACCTTGAGATTTAATTTAACTGCAGAACGGCATCTTTCATCTTTCCCCATCTATAGTTAAACACACTTGTGGAAAAAATATTGACTTTTTTACCATTATTTTAGGACACTCACAGATTTTATGATTTTACAGTGGCATCAATAAGCTTGTGAAATATCTGGATATCCGCATCGATTACTCTTCTGAGTCTTAGCCGGCTATCAAGAAGACCGCCAAGGATCCATACAGACTTTGATTTTTTTTTCGTTGAAGATCCACGAAAAACATGGCATACAACTTGCTAACATTTACACTAACGACCTATCAAGACTGACTGAACTGAGGGAAGTATACTGATACAATAAGATAATGATGTGAAGACAGGTGACTCAGGTGATGAACACAAGGCACAGGCTGGTAGGTGAGGGAGTGAGTTCAGGTGTGGAGACTAGGGGAAGTGTAGTGAAGACAAAGCCAGACTAGTGCAGACGAAGACTGTGACGTGTATTTATTTATATGCATTACACAAACACATTTTTACATATATGCATACACACATAACCCTAACCTGGCTATCAAGATTTGCCAGGCAAATGAGCTTTCACAAATGCATACAAGGACATTCAGTAATATGACGGCGTCAGCAAACGTCAGAGAAAGTGATGACGCGGCGAGTACGGTGGCCGAGAGAGCTCACCGCGCTGCAAGCTAAAGAAGACACATGTGAATAGAAAAAAACACCCGCAAATTAATAAAAATCCTCATCAGTCTCACAACATATGCGCTCACAACACAACCAAATAAAGAAACGCGCTGCAAGCAACACCGTCCACAACGGAAATGTTTTTCTGGGGAACCAAATAAGTGACGGACCCGACTGCATACACAGGACGTGCTTACAGCAAAACAAAAAAACAAAAAAACGTTTATTGACGAGAAATGAAAGCCTATATATTTTTTTTTCTAATTCATGGAGTAAAATCAAATTTGTAGATTTGCAATTAGTACCATAAATATTAACCGCCGCTAGTTTCATGTCTCTGGTATCACTCCGCGGACTCGCTCTGTCTTCACACACACTGAAACCGCCATTTTATGGTCTCTGTTATGTTATGTTTTCAAGTGAAAACGACCTCTCGCAAGACTTACGCATTAATATTACTGTAACAGTGTATAAAGGACGATTGTTATTTGTTTTATGGGAAGCTTTTAGAGAATATTCAGGTAAGATAGTAAATATCACGAGTTCACATCCACATATATTTATTCTGCGAGCTGCCCTGTTATTAATGAAAACATCAGTGTATTTTTAAAACTCGCTGATTCAGGGACAAAATGTTTAGTATTTGTGCATGAGGTAAAAGCACAATAATGGAGAGCAGAAGAAAGATGAATTAATTCAGACCTTCAGCTTCTTCCATCGATTCAGGAGCTTCAGAGACTAGAGTTTCGGTTCGGTCCCGATAGAATAGAAATACTCTATTTATCCTGAATGCCATGATGGAGAGAACTGGTGTTTTGACCCAGTATTACACTGTTTTATTGCAGGAAGGAAACTCCTCTTCAATCTCCATAGGTGATTTCTTGGGTCTCTTTGACAACACACAAACAGACACACACACACAGATACTGTGTGAGATCATCTGGTTGAAAAGAGAGGTAGATGATGGGTCCCAGTGATGTGGTGTAAATGGAGAAGAGGAGCGGTCCAAGCACTGAACCCTGGGGAACCCCTGTGGTCAGCTGATGTGCTTTGGACACCTCGCCTCTCCATGCGACCCTGATCTACCTGTGAGATAGGACTCAAACCAGTGGAGAGGAGTACCTGCGATGCCCAGAGATGAGAGGGTGGACAGGAGGATCTGATGGGTCACAGTGTCGAAGGCAGCAGACCGGTCCAGGAGGATGAGGACGGATGATTTGGAAGCAGCTTTAGCGATCCGCAGGGCTTCTGTGACCGACAGTAATGCAGTCTCGGTCGAATGCCCTTTCTTGAAGCCAGATTGGTGGACATCCAGCTGGTTGAGACAGGAAAGATGATACTCAGTTGAAATCTCTGGCAGTTAATTTTGTTTGATTTGTTCATTGCAAACAGCTGAAAGTCTTTTGATCGGTAGTAAATGTCCGTGTATCAAATGCAGGTTTTGGCCGAGAGAACACGTATAAACTGCTTTAAGAGGATACGTCTTCAGACCACCCAGAGATGAGACATCTCAGTTCAGCTCTGTTCATGGATCAGAACATGCTGGATCTGTCCTCTGTGGAGGAACTTAATGCAACATTACAAAAAGCTGTTTAATATGGAAAAATGTTATATTCATAAAAACAATGAAAATCCCACTCAGAAGGACAAAGTGCATATCTCTCCTTTTAATGTTCAGAAAACTGACATTTATTTAGCAGTTAACAGGAGTTTCCAATTACAGTTAGGCCGTGTGTGTGTATGTGTGTGTGAGGTGACTATGTGAAAAGCGGTGTGTAAGCGTAAAGTGTTCTCTCCCAGCAGGGAGTGGATCAACAGACCTCCAGCGCTGCACCTCCTCCTCCTCCTCCTCCGTCTGCTGCTGCTGTGACCTTCTCAGGAAAACCCCTAAACATCTATTATTATCTCTGTTTGGGCCGTTTAATCAGTCCTTTGATACGTATTGGCCTAGAGAATTTAGCAACTGACTTCAAACACAAATCTGTCTCCGTGGCAACAAGGCAGGTCACTACTAACTATGCCACCGTCTACTACAGTACTGCATCAGGGTCAGGGTCATTGTGTTCTCCCTGAGGAAAAATTCAGCAGGAGAGGAAGAATTGACTGAACTCGTTAAATCATCTAAATCAACATGTATGTTAGACCCTATACCGACTAAGCTACTGAAAGAGATGCTAGAAAAGCAAGCAAATTTTATTTATATAGCTCTTTTCCAAACAAATGAATGCAGTTCAAAGTGCTTTACAGGCACAACAATTAAAATCAAGTACAAAATACAGGTAAAGTACAAGAAAAAAGGCAGTATCTTCACAACTATGTTCCTTTTTAGAGAGAAATCTGCGAGGATTTCCAGTCCGTACCATAGTACCGAGACAGCTCTCGTTAGAGTCACACATGATCTGCTCTTATCATCCGATCGTGGTCGTATCTCTCTATAAGTGTTACTCGATCTTAGTGCTGCATTTGACACCATTGACCACAACATTCTTTTAAATAGACTAGAAAACTATGTTGGCGTTTGTGGAACTGCATTAAATCATTATTATCTGACCGTTATCAGTGTGTAGCAGTAAATGAAGAGATGTCTTATCCATCACAAGTTCAGTATGGCGTACCACAAGGCTCAGTACTAGGACCGCTGCTGTTCACTCTGTACATGCTGCACACACACACACACACACACACACACACTCTCTCTGTACATGCTATACATGATATATCATTAGGAAGGATGGCACAAGCATGAGCCGAGCTATGGCGAGCAGAGAGTGCTGGACACCGGCTGGTTATGGACTTGCTCAAACTTTTATTTTGGATCATTTTTAAAGGGATACTCCACCGGGTTTTCATATTAAACTATGTTATTCCCTTAACTAAGACGAGCTGATGCATACCTCTCTCGTCTCGGTGCGTGCACTCTATCGCTCTGTATTGCCGCAAAACTACGTTAGCTTCTCTTTTTGGCCCATATTTAATGCACTGGGCTAAGCTAAGTGCTAACGTAGTTTTGCGGCAATACAGAGCGATAGAGTGCACGCACCGAGACGAGAGAGGTATGCATCAGCTCGTCTTAGTTAAGGGAATAACATAGTTTAATATGAAAACCCGGTGGAGTATCCCTTTAACCCAAAAAAGTTACGGACTGCAGCTTTAAGATATTCATTCTAATAGTTGTCTTTAATCATTGATTAAAAGTGTGAAACTCTTCCTGTGTGCAGTAGCATCTGCTCTCTCGGACCCCATTTACACCTGGTATTAAAATGCGACCTGTATCCAGATAATAAAAAAACGCATGTTAATGCAAGGTGATCGGATCGTGATCGGATCTGCCTGACCACATCTGGAGGTAGTCTGGCTCGCATTGTGTTCGGATCTTTACTAGGTGTAAACGCAATCTGGTTGTCGAAACCACATATTTTACTCCTACCAAAAATGCTAAATAATAAACGAGTGTGAGCGTGTTATATGTCAGATATGACGGCGCTACTGCGACACGCATCATCGCAGATGAGCGTCTATTCATCAAGCCAACGTGCAAACATCGCAAATAACATTGAAAGTAAGTCACAGACGCTTAACACACAATCATCTTCAAGTAAAGAAACGAATTTTCTTACCAGGGCTGTTGCAACTCTCTCTTATTGATGTCTTTGATTTGGAAATTAGCCGATGATCAATAAAATGCAGCTCATATCTGTTGCTTTTGATGGCGTGCAATCCATTAAATCTGCATATAACGCGGGAGTTGAAGATCGGATTTATATCCGTTTTGCAAAAACACATTTATGCGGCCAGGTGAAAATGGAATCGGTACTTATTATCATCCGGATACAGATCGCATGTTAATACCAGGTGTAATGGGGTGTCTGTGACAGTGTTTACAGCGATCTGATGAAAGTGTTGCGATGTCTCCCTGATTCGACAGGTTTGTGCATCATGTGACCCGAGCCTAGCTTAGGAAACATAAAAAAAAAAAGAGTAAAAAAGCAGTCGTTGATGTGGAAATAATCGTTGCTCTTCTCTTACTGCAGTCTAATCTAATACTTCTGAAACACTGAGCATTATTTGAGAATGATCTTCAGAGCTGTTCTCTAGAATCAGACATGTGACCGGTTCAGAAAAGGCCCAATTTATTGAGACATTCATATCCTGAGGAACGATGTGTACATTCTTTCAGGAACACTGGATTGGTTCAGTCATCGAGACGATAACACTGACACACAAACACACTAAGTCGGATTCGGATTATATTGGCTTCAAGACGCACAAACACATTCCGACATGAGCTTGTGTTTCCATCCTCATGCAGAGACCGAGACGACACCGACGAACGAACGAACGAAAGCTCCAGTGCGATTCACCGACACACATGCAAACGCACAAAGACATCAAACTCAAACATGTATTAGCTTCAGATATAATCCAACAGACTGATGAAGACACGAGCTACGGACACACAGCTCAAGGCGTCGGTTGAAAGGCTGTTGTGTGTGTGTGTGTGTGTGTGTGTGTCCGTTGTAAAGGGTCCACCAGGCGCACCACTGAGCTCAACAGAAGTCTATGAGTCCACACGCACAGGTCAAAGTTCAAAAGCAGGGAAGCTGGATCCCTCGGGCTGGAGGACGTCGGAGAGAAAGTGGACGGCTCCGGCCATTCCTGCACACAGAACCACGGGTTAGGAGATATTCATGACATCATCAGAGCATACCATCATCTCACGTGCTTAGAAACAGAATGAAACGCTTCAGGAACGAGAACACGTGTGGGCGGGGCTTGATTGTGTCTGTGAGGAACTGATTGGATGGTTGTGGTTTGCTATTGGCTGATCTCATGTGATTGACAGGTTATAGCCCCGCCCACATCATCAGAGAAGAGATGCTGAAGAGGAACTGATGCTCATTCAGGATTATTAACACTATAATGATGATGTGCACCGATAAATCATTTACAGTAAACACTGATATTCCATGACAAATAAAGATTTATCCATTTTGATTTAATGGTGACTAAGTACAAATGCCTAGAATTATAAGCCTAGAATTATATATAATTGCAGACTAATTCAATATTTCTCATTAATATATGCAGTGTGTGTGTGTGTGTGTGTGTGTGTGTGCCCACTAAAGACCGAGGTAGAGATGGAGTCTCTAAACGCCCAATCAGAGTGTGGCTTTTAATGAGCGCAGGAAGTGTTGCCATGCCGACCGCGGTGAAGTGGACGAGGACTTCAGAGCTTCTCCGACACCAGCACACTGGGAATAAGGGATTTGGGCTCTCTGACACTTTATAATCGTTTGCCTCTTTTACTCGGCAGACGGGAGATACGAGGAGAGAGAGGAATCAGGACATGTTGCGAGCGGGATTAGAACCTAAAGCTGAAGCCCAGGAGCTCAATGTGTACTAGAGAACTGATGAAGAGAGACGTACTGCACAAATTAACACAGCTTAAATTAATTAATGTTTTTTAAAATGGCTGAAATAAACTACAGCTCCAAAAGTTTGGGGTCACAAAGATTTTTTTTTTAAAGAAATTAACACCTTTTTTAATCAAGGATGCATTAAATTGATCAAAACTGACAATAAAAGACTTTATAATGTGTAAAATTAAATTAAATTTATAATGTGACAAAAGATTCTGTTTTAGATAAATGCTGTTCATTTGAAAATTCTATTCATTAGAGAATCCTGAAAAATAAAATATATGACGATTTCCACAGAAATATGAAGCAGCACAACTGTGTTCAACACTGATAATAATCATAAGTGTTTGTTGATCATCAGATCCTCATATTAGAATGATTTGTGGAGGATCATGTGACCCTGAAGACTGGAGTAATGATGATAAATTCAGCTTTGATCAGGAATAAATTACACTTTACTGTATATTCACATAGAAAACAGATGATTTACACTGGAGTAATATTTCACTGTTATTTTTGATCAAATAAATGCAGCTTTGATGAGCAGAAGGTTATGTTTATGAAGACTATATAATTATCCAATATAAACTGTAATAATGCGCTACACAATAAAGGGAGCACATGTGTGGAAGCACGTAAATACATAAATATAATAAAAGGGGGGACTCTACTGATCTCAGGTCTGATCTCACAGTGTCAGCTTCAGCACAGACGGACGCCACTGATCTCAGGACTGACGATCGCAAGAGTTTAGGGGCTCTGGGAGAATATTGAGGAGACGTGATTATTCATTTACCTTCAAACAGGGAGTATGGCCGGTCAGGGATGCGGCAGCCGTGCTTCCCGTAGTCTAGACACCACTCAGCAAACTAGACAGAAACACACACACACACACACACGCGTCAGACAGTGCTCGAATGGACAATAACATGCATTAAACACAACTATGCCAAAATGGCCGTTTCGTCGAGTATCCGCACAAGCACAGTATTAAACGAGTTAGACGAGTCAAAGTCTTGAACTTCTGAATTAGTGTAGAGTTGTGAGGAGGTGTGTGTCAGATCTGCGTTGTGTGTGTTATCGCTCATAAAGTGACGGCGGCTAATAAACCTGCAGCTGTGCTTCATTCATTCTAATCTAACAGAGAAAAATCACGATTTCTGATCAGTACAATGAGTCCAAGCAGAATAAAACTATTAATTTCCACCAAACTAAATATAGAAATCTCATCACTTCACTGATTAAAAACAAAAAATAGTGAAGAATTCATGTCACCTGATCGTAACGATTCTTTTGTTTTAAGTTACTATTTTTTTTTTCTGGAATACTGTTTCATATTACACACAAAAAAAACAATTTCATAAGGAATTTATCATCAGTGTGATTAAAATATCTCAGAATGTGATATATAGTATAAAAAAGCTGAAATAGTTAAAAACGCCATATATAAACAGCTAGACCAGTATATGTAGAGTGGTCATGTGACTGGTGTATTGAGATGTTAACGCCACAGATATAGTGATGAAGCGAGTGTGTGTGGATGCGTCACACACACACACTCTACCTTGCAGGCCCGATACAGGTACTTCTTGTCGTGTGTGAGCTTGTAGAGCGAGAGGAAGGCGTATCCGTTGCCTGCGGTGCCGTGACAGATCCCGTAACCTTTCCTCAGCAGACCTTTCTGCCAGATCAGCTCTCCACACTCCACTGCGTCACGCAGGTACTTCTCATCCCTGAACACCTGACACACACACAACACGCAGAGATAAACCGCCAGATACACGCCAGAGACAATTTAACTGAGAGAGAGAGAGAGATATCAACCCATTAAAACTATAGTGATATTTAACACAAATGACACTATACTATTTAATTATGCGACTAAACTTTTAGTACTTTTAAATTTTGAACACATTAAATGTTAATTGTATAAACTTAAATATCACAATAAAGCCAATTTCACTTATAAAATAAAAAATAAGGCTTATATGCTTCAAAACAAAAGTGGCCACTAGAGGTCAGTGTCGGCTGCCGCATGCTGAGAGAGGAAACCTGTACAGAACTGAAGAAACAAACTCAGTGACTTTAAAACTAAAACAGAAGAAACATGAGAGGTGGGCGGCATGACAGACGGATGCCGCTGATGTCATATCATACAGTACCGTAACATGATCATCTGTTTATGAAACATATGAGCATGTCAAGAGATATAAGACCAACTCTTGCTGTAATTATATATATATATATATATATATGGTAAGAATGAATGCAAACAGAGTGACGAGTGTGTGTTAGAGACTCACTTTATGAGCCATGATGAGCATGTGCAGGACTCCAGGCGCCCCGTGACACCAGTGCACCAGTCGGTCGCTCTCGTTGCTGAGGGATGATGGGTAATTGCCGGACCGGAACCGCTTGTGCCGCAGGTAATCCACACTGGGCCGAAGCAGCTCGTTCAGGACCTCCTGGCTCACTTTAGCGCTCGGCTGCGAGGAGAGAGGAGACGTGATTAGTGTGTGCGGTTTATTAAAACTGACGGGTTAATGACCCTTCATGGCACAAACACCAGCACTTTAATGTGTGTATATGTACATGATGATTCACTGTAAAAATTAGCAATGCATCGAAACAATTGTCAAGCCAATGAAGCACATTTTTATTTGAATTGACGGATATTACTGACATTCGTTCAGACGGCTTGAAATTAAACAATCCAGACGAATCATCATCATCATCACGCCTACATGAATATCTGCATCCTTTAGTTGGACCGCTGTATGCTGCGTCGCCATGACGACACTCATGTTACCGTGCCGACCGCAAGCCAATCAGCTCGCAGGAGCCTTTTCCATCTCTAAACACACACTTCTGACACTGGGACTGGAGACTAATATCCGTCACGATGGACCTGCTAACCAGCTGATCAGACTCACATCAGCCCGGCTCCGCTCCTGACGTCATCACCACCAGATCATCATCAAACGAGATCGAAGGAGGAACTGGTGTGACGTCATTAAGAACCAAATCAGTTCATTTCTGGAGTTTGAAAAACGCCTCTGAGCTCCCATTGGTCTGTGTGGTGATGATGCAATAGGTGGGTTATTGAATAATTTTGAATATTGTGATAAGCTGTAAGCCATAATCATCAAAATTGTAACAAATAAAGGCATGAAATATCTCACTTTGCATGTAACGAGTCTATATAATATATTAGTTTCAGTTAAATTACTGAAATAAATGAACTTTTGCACCATATTCTAATGCGTCCAGTTTGAGTATATCGGGATCTTTAGCTTTTCCTTACGACTGAACCGTTCCTTCTTCCAGAGCAGATCCCCGAACAGAAGACGAGATGCTTCGCTGAATTACAGAACAAAAAACAATATTCTCTCACAGCACCAAAACAAACCTCCTCAGAAACGGCTCCATGACTGATGAATAGTGTTAACGCCAGAGCTGATCTCCTGACAGCACTATTGCCTCAGATTACATCACAATCCTCCAGGGTCGGACTCGAAACATCTGTCAGTCACAAACCACAGCGCTACGTCTCTGTTAGCAGCTCATTCACTAGCGGAGCGTCCGCTTTATTACAGGGGATGAGAAATGAGCATTTTAGAGCCTCTCGACTCCGCTTTTCCCGCTAAAGCACGGAAACGGCCCATAAAGACGTGGGTTACAGAGGAGCGGCTCAGGGGACACGGCGATGGAGGAAGAACAGATGTCAGCTAATGCTACGAGACATGATGCTGCATCTTGGGATGCTTTTTGAAGGAGTATAAACAGATCTCACATGTAGCACTCAGTCAAGTGTGGCCAAACATCTCAGCAATGGCTTAAAGGGAAGCGTTTTCAGTCACAGAAAACATAATTCACACCAAACTTTGTAAATTTGACAAATTTAATGCAAGAAAAAAAAAAATCTATCTTGACGCAGACGGTCCAACTATTTCAAGGAAATTAATCAGACATTAAAGAGATAAAAAGATGTCAAATATAGTGTCTATTAACAGAAATGCAATATGACATCCATAACTACGTATGCGTTCAGTGGTGTATAAAGAACTTTAACAAACCGTAATGTTTTTATTACCTTAGAACGAGACATTTATATCTACATCCCCTTCTATGAAAGTCGCCATATTTTGATGTCATGTTTGATTATTGATTTGATTATTTTTATGGTATAGTCAATAACACTGATATTAAAATGTTGAACTCTATACTGTTTTGCCTAAATCAATTTAAAATAAATCACAAGCTAAAATTAATTTACAGTATGAAAAAAGTATTTTTCTAAAAATTCAAAGTGTTTTTAAATGATTAATGTTCACCTATCATGGATTTTTGAAAATGACTGTTCATGTAGTGTGGACTATAGCTCTAAGGGGATGAAAACATCCTGCAAAGATTTAGATCTGAAAGAGCACCGTATATAAAGTTATTGTCTTTCAAAAGTGAGAATCGACTCACTTTTGAAAGACAATAAAGATAGTGGAAATGAGCATGCTTTATTAAACATCCAAATTAACTGACTAATGATGAGTTAATAGCAACAAATAAAACAACTATTTAGTTAGTTTATTTAATTTAGTGCAATATTGAGGTTATAATGTTTTAACTTTGAACACTTTTCTAACTGTAGTCAGTGTGTAATGTTGCCGTTTCCGCATAAACAACATCTGCAAGATTACAAACTGCTCAAACTCCACTGCAAAGGGAGAGATTTTATTTATAATCCCCTTTTCAAGAACGATGTTTGGACAGCGAGATCTTTCCTCCCTAAGCCTGATGAAGTGGCTGAAACAGATCCTGAACATTATAACGGATAGGACCGCTGGTCTTCTGCAAGCTCGCGCTTTTGTTCACTTAGGAACTATTACCAGTTTTCCGACAAATATTAATTAAATGGTGAATAACATCGTATCTGAAATGTAAACATTCGACTCCACTCGAAATCTGCGCTTGAAGTCCGTTCGCACGATCCTCTTGTTCGTTAACATTGTCAGGGTCTGAATCGAGCTCGAACCGCTGTGAAATCTACGCCATCCTTACTCATATTTACACTAGAGAAGAACTCACGTTCTCAAAACTGTTCTCTATGTGAATATATAGTAAAGTGTAATTTATTCCTGTGATCAAAGCTGAATTTATCATCATTACTCCAGTCTTTAGTGTCACATGATCCTACACAATCCATTTTAATATGAGGATCTGATGCTCAAGAAACATTTATGATTATTATCAGTTGAAACCATCTTTTTTTCAGGATTCTTTTTTCAGGATAGGAAGTTCAATAGAACAGCATTTATTTAAAACCAAATCATTGTAACATTATAAATCTCTTTACTGTCACTTTTGATCATTGAATGCATCCTTATTGTTTAAATCGTCCCTACTGAAAGCTTTTTAAACACGACCCTTCGTTTGGGGTTTCATTTTATTACAAGCTTGCTTCTTTAAGCACTTATGTGAGTTAGATTTCCCTAAAGCAGTTTAATATTAATTGAATAAACTTGATCCCGCGGTGTTGTTGGCCTCCGAGGGCAGAAGTGCCGACTCTGCAGTAAAAGCATCCGTGATCCGGTTACTGGCCAATCCGGGCTCGTCGTCTCTGATTGGGTTTACAGATCAACATCTGAAAGCTGTAGAAGCTCTGATCAATCTCAGCCCGCTCGCAGGAGAGTGTACGAGTAGGCGATGTTTTACACACACTGCAGTCGGTTGTGCTCGAATAGATGATTATATTCATTATTTGAAGACTTGTTGTATGTGAGGAAGCTGAGTAATCTACAGCTGCACATCAGATCTTTTAATACATTAATGGAACAACGTTCAGACAAAAAGCCAACATTAGCTGTTCTCTGGAAGGGTCAGACGGTCCTGAGAGAGCGATTCCTAAGATTCCTAATTCCTATCAATTATCATTATATTATTCACATGCAGAATAAAGGGGCGGGGCCTGGTTGAGGTAGTTAGTAGTGTGTTAAAGTGGTGGTTATGGAAAGGGGCGGGACATTCCCAAACACACTCAAAGCGCTCGACCAATCACAACACACTGCTCCAGCTGACCAATCAGAGCACAGTGTGTTTTTCAGGAGGAGGGGCTTCATAGAGACAGGAAGTAAACAGAGCGTTACTGAAGAGAGGAGCCGCAACAATGGAGAATATGAGGAGAATAATCAACATTCAAGCAGGAAAACCTGTTCTAGGAGAGCCTGAACACATCAAGACTGCACAACAGGACCAGTTTTATTCACACACACACACACACACACACACTCTCTCACCTGCATGAGCATGTAGTAAATGCCTGCCAGACCGTGAGCGGCTCCTACGTACTGCTTCTTGTGCCACTCGTACAGCAGCGGGCATCGCTCGCTTTTCTTCTCCTCTTTAGACAAGTTCTTCCCCGACTCCAGAATAGCCGTGACCACCTGGGGGCGCCAGAGAGCACACGGAGATGAGAGTCCAGTTGCGGATCAAAGTATCGGTCACTTCTCGGCAGAATTATTCACAGCGGTTCAGCAAAGGTAAAAGAACGGATTAAAATAGTGTGTCAGCAATAACACCGAGAAATATAACAGAGGACTATTACACAAGAGCAAATGTTGCATTAGTAGGGAAATCTGACCGATAACCGATAATTCTTTATATTTGAGAGCCGATAACCGATGTATTGGCTGAGTTTTTTATGATTTTTGAGAGCCTGATTACAACAAAAGTCTCATCATTAAAAGCCATGACCCAATCACACAAATATAATGTTCTTGAACATTTAATGTAGCCGATATGACACACTTGCGCTATTTTTCTTTTTGAAGTGATTCCAATCATATTTCAATTTTCAAGCAATTTAAAGCGATCATTATCACATCTGAAGCGTCTCAGCTGTAAGAAATAATCCATTAATTATCGACTTTATTATATCAGCCAAATTTTCTCATCAGGCCGATAACGATAACTTTAAAAATGAACATATAGCGGCTGATATATCAAGTTCCCTCCACATAAGGGCAATAAAAGATCGTTGTGGTGAAAACAGTGCGCTGCTGAATGGAGATGAGCCGGGCATGGATTCGTCAGTTCTCCTTTCGTGTTTAATGACTAAATACCAAAAAACACGAGTGGATAATGAGATACATTCACTTTTGGATGAACTATTACTTTAAAAACTGAAGCACACACAGTAAGTGTCTGTATCTGTAATAATATAACACGTGTCTCGTCATAAAGCAGAAGTGATAGAGGGATAAGTCCGCAATAGAGAGGATAAATGAAAGCGGTTACAGGTATTACAATAAACCTGATTGGAGGTTAATGACGCGGAGGCTGTTTTGGGCAATGGAGCAGAATACCGGCCAATGACTATAGATTTATCCCGGGATAAAAAGGACTTCTGGTCAGCACAGACTTCTCTCTCTGTCTCTGAAACTGCCCCGTCACCAAAACCAGCCGAGACCCTCCGGAGACGAAGCCGATAGTGCAGACTCAGATCTCCGTCCTCATCACGAGCACTTCTGGAGACTCAGCTCTGCTCTCACGTGTCCCAGAATACAGCATCACGTCCCAGTCACACGAATAACAGCACACGCCCACACCAGGCGCAGCCTCCAGGGGTCGCTCTCGAGTCCAACACAGAAGGGACTTAAAGTGAATGACAACTAGTGGTGGAAATAGGCACTGCAGTCCAATTCAAAATAAAGGAGATCGTGGTTTCTCCCGCCTCCTCGGACTCGACGCTCACACGGGTCGCCAGTTTGAGCTCACGCAACAGGAACGAGCGTGACGGACAATGAAAATTATCGACACGTAGCATCACAGACCAAAACAACAACCTGGAAACGCACATTTCAAAGTAAAATAAGTGTTTTCCAGAGAAACGAGTGTGATCTTCAACTCATCTATATATGCAAACGGTATTTTTATGCTTTAGTGAAGTGAAAAAGTTACATAGAGCACCTTTAAACTGCAGTTCCTCCAATGGCCACTAGAGGCCGGCTGCAGAACAGACTCGATCCCATAGACCTCCATGTTAAAATGTCCAACTTCACAGCAGAAAAAAACATGTTTACAGTCTGGTACCAAAAGTGGTTTTGGTCTATATAGCTCATTTTGCCCTTCATGACGACAGAGGACGCTGAATTATTTTATTACTCATCTGTTTAAATCATATTAAGCCTTAAAGTTCTGTATCATTAATGACGTGGCCGCTTGAGTGACAGGTGATTTGCGCTGATGTCACTGCTAGCCGCTTGTCTGCTGTGTTAGCTAATCTGCCTCATGATTATAAATGTTGAAAACAGTTGTGTGCATTTTGTTTGAAGGATTCTTTGATTTTAATTTTCAAAAAAAACAGTATTTATTTAAAATTGATTAATTTGTAACATCATAAATATGTCTGCAATGTCACTTTTGATCAATGTAATTCTTCCTGTGCTGAAAAAAAGTATTGATTTCTTTTATCATGACCCCTTTAACTGAACAAGCTTTAATAACCACAGATTCTCCACATGCGGATTCAACGGCAGCTTTAATGTTACAAGATTACTGAGGCAAACACACACACACACACACACACACACATTACTCTCCTTCCTCTTGTTCACCTCTCATCAGTTCTGCCCACATACTCGCCGCTAAACTGGACGCTGGCCAGCGCACACGACAGTAATGCGTAAAGCTGCCCGAGAGACACACATCTACAGTCCGGCCGCAGGATAACGCGTCAGTGAGGAACACACATTCAGCTCTGCGCTTTATCAATGGATGTATTGTAAAGCATTTTATCGATAGAGTTTAAAGTGAATCCAGCGTTTAATGTTGTATATGTGTGTGTGTGGTGTGTTTAATCCGCTTTAACACACACCGTGTGTGTGTTGATAAGTGGACAGCATTGCTGAGTATTTCCTCCTTAAAACTGCAGTGAACCAAAGACAGTCTCAAAAACACACTGGTGTTTCTGACGTCACAAACCACCTTGTAACCAATCAGATCAACGCGTGATCGCCAACCAGTGGATCTCTGAGTGAGGGAGTGAGTGGAGGCGGGGCTCATTTGCATATTCACAGAACCGCACATACCAAATGAGGTGAAGGGTGTCGAGTTACATTCAAGATATTTTAAAGGGATAGTTCACTTTGAAATTAATTTTTGATATGTTTGATATATATGTTTCTTGGGCATCCAAGATGTAGGTGTCTTTGTTTCCACAGTATTTTCAATTTTGACATTTTTAGGTCAAACCGTTGTTGTCTATCAGTCATACACTGGAGGCTAAGGGGGTCCACCAGCACAGAGAAGTCCAAATTAAACATGATTTAATGACTGGTACATGGCCTAAGACACGAAACGAGCGGTTTGTGTGAGAAAACCAACAGTATTTATATCGTTTTACCTCGTGTAATCACAGCCATGACACAATGATCTGACGACACGGGCGCTTCGGTCTGGAAGTGATCGACGTCACTCTTTGTTTATACAGAGATTTGGGAAGTTTGACCTTTCACTAAACATATTTAGATATACGGGAAACCGCAATGGAAGACGATTTCGGTATATCTAAATATGTTTAGTAAAAGGTAAAACTTCCGAAATCTCCGTGTAAATATTGAGTGACGTCACACGCAAGCGATCACTTCCGGCGTAACATTGAACTGATTCAGTTCGGTTCAGTTGGACATTGCACAACTGATTCAGATCACGAGGTAAAACGATATAAATACTGTTGGTTTTCTCACACAAACCGCTCGTTTCGTGTCTTAGGCCATGTACCAGTCATTAAATCATGTTTAATTTGGACTTCTCTTTGGTGGACCCCCTTAGCCTCCAGTGTATGACTGATAGACAACAACGGTTTGACTGAAAAATGTCAAAATTGAAAATACTGCGGAAACAAAGACACCTACATCTCGGATGGCCTTGAGGGAAGATAAAACATATCAAACATTAATTTCAAAGTGAACTATCCCTTTAAGGCACGATGGTCAAAGATGAGTTTTAAACTACAGGGGGACTTCATGCATGAATATATTGTGATTATGAATAGCGTGGCGATCACCTTGGCGATGGTGGCCTCATCCACCACTTCCGGCCCGATTTCTTTGTTGACATACAGCAGGGCGTAGAGATAGCCGGCGCGTCCGTACAGAAGCTCATCAGGAACGTCTGCGTCTGGGCTGAGGACCGAGCGCTGGAGCGCCAGCAGTCTGGCAGAGCGAGGGCAAACACATGGACAATCACAGCAATCTCTCTAAAACACAGTTTAATATGTGTACAACGTCTCCTTGTTCTTTTGTTTACAGGGGCGGTTGATTGTGATTTGACTTTTCTAACTGTGGTCCGTGTGTAATGTTGCTGTTTGAGAATAAACATCTGCAGAGGTCAAAGCGGACGCCGGAGCAGCGGCTCATTTGCATTTAAAGGGACAGACACAAAAACGGCGAGTTTTTTGCTCACCCTCAAAAACTGACAATTTTAACATGCTATATGAAAATCTATATGGGTATTTTGAGCTTAAACTTCACACACACACTCTGGGGACATCAGAGACTTATTTTACATCTTGTGAAAATAGGCATTATACCAGCCCTTTAACTGAAACCTGTGTACGAGAAACACAATGTATTGAGAGCAAAATAAGCGCAATATTGGTTGAGGGTTGAGAGAGAGAGAGAGAGAGAGAGAGAGAGAGAGAGAGAGCACCGCATGCAGTTGCTGAATAACACACTCCCCACAGACGGATGAGCGAGAGACTTCACTACAACACAAGCATCTGTTTCTCACACACTGAAACGCTTCACAAGAGCAAAAGCAATTTCCACCTCCAGCTCTTCAATCAAATCCAAATCAATGCTCTCTCTCTCTCGCTCTCGCTCTCTCTCTCTCCGCTGTTCTGCCGACAGATGAGGTGTACAGAAACCCGAGCGCAGAGCTAACTCTAGTGTTCAACATTCAGGCGTTTCAATGGCAATTTCTAGAAATTCTAGTGTCTAATAGAATACAAATTAATGACAGCTAATCAATTTAGTAAAGTGCCCCAATTACGCTTTTTCTAATATTTTTATAATATTGTAGTGTGTAATAAAGCTTTCAGTGAATGTAAAAGCTCTGTGAAGTTTCAAAGATAAAAGGAGTTTTTGTCTCCTAAACGTAAGAAGTGATTCTGAACCGAAACGAGTCGTCAGTCTCACTTCCTGCTGAACCTGGTTTGTAACCCACCGGCCTGTGGTTTTGATTGGCTGAGCAGCGTCTCTAAGCTCCGCCCTCAAACACTAGAGTATCTGATGCTGGGAGAGTTCGGTTCGGTTTCTGAGACTGACACGGTAAAACCCTCGCCATCGCTACTGTTCATATCTCCATCTGACCAATCACAGCAGAGCAGCTCTCCGAGAGGCGGGGCTTAGAGAGACTGAATCTTCGAACGAACCGTTTCAGACTCTTTGAGATATTAAGTGATGTTCAATGTGTATCATGAGAAAATTAACGTGTTTGTTGACCGTGGATGCATGTAAACCTGTGATAAGAGACTCTCAACCTTTAAAATAACATAATAGGGGCACTTATGATTAAATACAACTTATTAATTTAATGTAATTCAATATTTTTCTAAATAACACGTTTAGATCACAGCCCTTCCCTGACTCTGTAATCTGTATTTTTCCCAGCTTTACGCACACCCTTTTTGCTAAATGTCAGCTAGCTTCTCCAAACGACACTAAGAGCAAGAGCAAGCAAAGAAAGCTAAAGAGAAACAGTTTGCAAAGGTTCTGACTTGGTGATGCAGTCGTGTGACTCGGCCTGGTTCTTCAGGTGGTGGTGGACGACGGCACCGACGGCTAGCGGCCCGGCGTCTCCGCACAGGAAGGACACGCGGCGGCCGCTCAGGCTCCTCAGGGTGCGCTTCACGTAGTCCAGCGCGCGCCGCAAGTGCTCGTCCTCCTGCGTCCCGCGGTGCAGCTGCAGATACAGCAGGGCTACGCCTGCGTCACAGACAGCGCCCTCAACACGTGCTCTACATCAGGCGCATCAAATCACCTGGATTGGCTAATTAGCGCTGATATAATAGTTGGCAAATCAGTTCATGGGTGGAATATTCATATGGCAGCAGTTTTGCTTTCTGAGCCTGGACTTACACATAGCATTTACTCAGCACATGTGGAAAATGGGTTTGAAACTATTCAAATACAGTGTAAAATCTTGATTTGTGCCGTTTCACAATTTTGTAAAAAATCAACATCATAAACAAAGCATTAATAATAATTAAAATGATGTAAAAAACATAAATTTAGTAATTAATATCTTTATTTATAATAAATAAATAATGTAAAATATAAAGCATAACATGGGCTTTATGCACAGCTGCACTACTTCCTGAACTTCAGCCAGCTCCTTTGTTTCCTGTCTGCCATTATTGGACAAGCTTGATTAATTCAGGTGTGTCTGATTATTGTTGCCGTGACTACTGAGGTCAGGCACACCTGAACTAATCAATTTGTCCAATAATGGCAGACAGGAAACAAGGAGCTGGCTGAAGTTCAGGAAGTAGTGCAGCTGTGCATAAAGCCCATTATAATACCAATATTTTTGGTACATTTGTAATGAAATAAAATTGGATAAAAATTACATCAGAACGGGTAAAGGTTAAGCCTAAATTAAAGTATCAGTCGAGAGAGACTTGTGGGTTCATAGTAAACTACTGTTTACACTTACCTAAAAGATTATTAGGCAGTCCCTCCAGGATTTCACGATTTTTTTTTGGTGATTTTTGCAATCAAAATGACTGATTTTGTTTTGGTAATTTCCCAAAATTTGTGAAAAAATTTGCGATTTATATATAACATTTACCATAATAGTATTCAGTCCTTCCAGAAAAAAAAAAACGCAGATTTTTTTGTGATTGTTGTGGGCAAAAATTGATTGATTACACGGCCCGTTTACTTTAAAAATGCGATGGAATATGTGGGATATTTATGCAATTTTATGCGAGTAAATTGCAGGAATTTGCAAAAATTGAGGGAACTTGCACAAATTGCGGTTTGATGAAAAAGAGAAAAAAAGTGATTTCCCCAACATCCTGTTAATGTAAGAGTCATTTCTCATTACTTCCTTTGATAAGCAAGCATACTACATCATAGAAAGTGCTGGGAATATTTAATTTCTCATCTTGTTTTATTTCAGACTGTAACGAGTGTAAATAAGGTGTGGCCCCTTTAAGAGCTCTCTGCAGTGTTATATGTGCGCCTCGAACACCCCATGTGTGCGGGTAATTTCTGTTTGATGATACTTCTTTTATCTTATGTTGTTTATTAAGTAACGATGTGACGGTAGAATGTGACGGACAGTTATATGAGTTCGATTTGTGAGATCAATCGCCTCCGTGAGTCTGTCTGGCGTCGCTTAATTGCGTCACTTCATAACGTTCCCATGGAAACAGGGGGAAATGGCTGCTCTTGTGTGAAGCAAACGCAACATTTTTGCTAAGATACATGTGACTTTTTTTGCAACGAAAATGCGAGGATTATGAAATTATGCAAACCCCGCATATTTTGCACGGAAAATGGCAATTTATGCGGCGTATTTGAAAAAAATGCGGCCCCCGCATAAATATGCGGACTTTGGCTGATTTTGCATTGAATTCAGCGATCGCATAATCACGTTTTTCTGGAGGGACTGATTAGGAACACATGTTCAATTTCTCATTAATGCAATTATCTAATCAACCAATCACATGACAGTTGCTTCAGTGCATTTAGAGGTGTGGTCCTGGTCAAGACAATCTAAGACAGTTCAGACAATCAATTTGAAGACAATCAAACTGAACGTCCGAATGGGAAAGAAAGGGGATTTAAGCAGTTTTGAGCGTGGCATGGTTGGTGGTGTCTGAGTATTTGCTCAGTTACTGGGATTTTCACACAGTTCTGAAGGAGAAAGGGGGTCAAACACAGGATTAGTGTGTGTTCCTAATAATCCTTTAGCTGAATGTATTTATCCAAACTGTGTTACTGTCTTCAAGAATTGAGTTGAAGGTTTCTTTTTTTAACAAGGAAATCGCACAGTAACAGCATTTTATGAACAACGCTGGAATGTTTGCCTTTTATGCACACACACACACACAAAAGTAATGGCACACCAACTTGTGCTCAATAACTGAGAGTGTATGAAGTGTGTGTGGAGTCGCTCACCCGTCCAGCCGGTGTAGGCGGAGCAGTCGTGCGGGTCTGCCGTCTTCAAGCCCTCCTCCATTTGCTGAAGAAGATCTTTGATTTTGCTTTGCACTTTCTTCTGAAATGCAAGACTGATCTATTTCCAGACAAGGGGAAAAAATGTAAGTAAGATTCCAAGATGAAATTGGCAAACATAATTCGTTTTACAGTTTTATAATTAGTTGGCATAAAGGCACACTGGCACTGAGTATTGTAACGCAATAGTACTCAAAACTTTTGCGGACCCAACACAGAGCCCTGTGGAATATCCATCAAATTAAATATGTGCATATCCATGTCATAGACACACGTCTAACCCTTAAACACAATCTGTACATTACAGACTTCATGGCCTTGCGATACAACATCTCGGTTCAGCCCTGAGCCACTGATAACTCATGAATATCTGCAAACGTTTGACATTGAATAAAGTCAGAAAGAGACAAAAAGAGAATAGGCAGCCTAACCGTTGGAGCTGCATGACTCTAAATCAATTATTTATTAATGGAAATCCTCCCACAATTCTAAACAGACCGCAAAATAACGTAATTTACTGGAGTTTAATTTGGACAAAATGATTGTGTCACTGCAAACGCGTCCAGCAGGAGCCCCGGGTCCCAGTCCGGGTTCGGGAAACTGCGCTCCGAGGACACACGCGTACGGCCGAAACACGTTTACAATAATATTTGTGTCAGTCTATTTAAATTTTTTTTTAATTCATTAGAATTATTTAAAAAAAAATCAGTTTGAATGAAAGGGTCACTTGTAAAGACTTCACTTGATTCATTTCTGGATGAATCAGCATTTCTGAACGAATCTCTTGAATGGATGATTCAATGACGAACACATTTTTAACAGTCCCTCGTCGCCACCTGCTGGTGTAATCCAATCTTAAAGGTTATTTTCAAAAGGTGATTGACTCTATGTTGATCTCTACCGTAGACATCAGTGTTTATATCTGAACTATAATCTTTTATCCCACTACTTCCGTGATCATTTGAGTGATTGTAAGACTGAAGTAATGACACTGTGATGTTGAAAATACAGTTTGTGAAGCGGTTTGTCTTTACACGACACTTGTGATCGCACTCGTCACTAGCTTTAATAGACACGGGAGAATTACTGTAATTAAGGAATAAGATTGCGCGGGTGTTTCAAGATCACAATCTTTTAACGATTAATCGTGCAGCTCTACTGATTGTATATTGAACGGTCATCTGTGATATGCTGAAAATGTTTATTTTTTAAAAAGTCCTTTTATTCAGTCACAGGGGGACAATCATAATGTGTATTGCTATTTCTGAAAGTCTGAGTGCAATATCGTGTAAAGCGTGGTCACGGAAGAGTGGAGTTAGTGTGTGTGTGAGCCGAATCCTAATGAGACACAAACCTGGCCTGTAACACACTCACCTGCGGACAGAAACTACAACACACACACTTACGTTAACCCAAAGGAAATACAGTAGTACCGAAGTAATCCCAAACATGTCCACTAGGGGCAGACATTGCAAGCCCACATGATCTGTATGTAGAGCATGTCTGTAATGTATATTTCCCAGGGTTGAATGGTTGAGCTTGACAAATACAGTCAATTTATTTAAAGAAAATGCACAAAAACAAGCTGTAGTTGATAGCATACAAATCCTGCAATAGAGAGAGAGCGATGCGATGCGGTAACTTTGCTGCTGCAGTCTGAACCAAATCTAATAATGAACATGTTTTTCTGCAGAGAGATGATTGACAGCTGAGGAGACCCTGCTGAACCACTGCGGAGAATACAGAGGGAAAATCAGGCTTATTGGGATAGAAACGTCTACAATGGGGAGAACGGAGATGTAGATGTAAAGATGGTTTTAAATCGTGTGTGTTAGATGGCTTGACTGATATCTAAAGCACTTCTCAGACTCAGAGTGTGATAAAAATGCTATGACGGCTTTAACCTCTGGTGCCTGCCATGGTACAGCAACAGTATCCGACAGGAACAGATTATCATAGCGTATGTCGAAAAACAACATCAGATCTAGACAAATCAAAAAACAGTGAAATATTATTATAATGTAAATCATCTGTTTTCTGTGTGAATATATTTATTCCTGTGATCAAAGCTGACACTGTCTTCGGTGTCACATGATCCTTCAGAAATCACTCTAATATGAGGATCAAAAAACAGTTATGATTATTATCAGTGTTGAAAACAGTCGTGCTGCTTCGTATGTAAATATATTACTATTGCGCAATATTTGCTGACAAAGCCTTTAAAGACACGCGATTTATATGAATTAATGACTTCTTCCAATGGTTTATGATGAGTATTTTTCTTTTAATTTTCACCCTCCACTCGAGAACGTCACACTCTTCGTGATCTCAGAGATCAACAGTGTTAATATTCAACGGTGTGTGTGAAAACCCTGAAGGATCAGCTCATCTGAAGAGATTAACCAGCAAATCTCTGATCACGATGAAACAAAACAGTCACTGGAGACGCGACCAGCATTAATGATGTGTCACATGATCAGTCTTGGAGAAACTGAGGGGAAGATGGCTACGTTTACACACACCGCTGCACAAACACACAAGTGTGTATTCTGTTCAGAGGTCTGGGGTCAGTGAGATGTGTTGATGTTTCTGAGTCTCTTCTGCTCACTCAGACTGCGTTTATTTGCTCAGAAATACAGTAAAAACAGTGAAACATGATTCCACTGTAGAACAGCTGTTGTCTAGGTTTATATATGTGTAATTAGGGACCGAGCACTGAAGGTGTAAGTTCAGGTTGTCTATGGCAGGAAAGTTATGACATTTGGCACACTGATAGAGGACGGTCTGATCTGTCACCATACCAAATGTGGAGTCTCTATTTGATTAGTCAAAAGGTTCACTAATAACCTGCGACTGATTTCTATATCTACACACCGCTTTAGTGTATTCTCACCAAACATGGTGTGTGTTAAGGCAGCCATGACCTGAGGACACCTGTACAGCTTCAGCGCAGTGCCACCTAGTGGTCAGGTGATGTGAAAAATTGCCTTTTTTGCGTATAACTTCTAAACGGTTTAACCAACAGAAAAAAACACAAACTCTTCAGATTCGGTGCAGCAAGCAGAGTCCAACGATACCCAACTTTCCCACTTTCTTTCCCATTTTGACAACGCTTAGTTTGAATTTTGTTGTAAAACGCTTTTTTTTTTACGAACGTATTGGCGAAATACATTTTGAGACAGCGCTACCTTGTGGTCGAAAGTTTTGACTTTCCAGAAATGCTAACAGCTTTTGATTAAATTAGCTTACTGTAATGGGTCTTAATAGATTCCTTGGGTCATGCCGAGAACATAGAAACCAATTTTGACATATTTGGCCAAACTTCCTGTCTGCCATTTTGGATTTCTTTAAAAAAACTACTTTTTCGAACTCTACCTGTTGGTCTGATTTTCACCATATCATCATTTCGGGTGGCTAGACGAAAAAGGTTTTCGTATTCTGCATTAACACACTTAAGGCATGATGCCAGAATCATAGATATGTATATAAAGGCTAGATGTGTTACGGCGGAGTTTCCAACGTCATCACCGGCGGCCATCTTGTCACAGACAAGCTGATGTAAGATGAGTGGTCAGCACGAACACAAATACTCTTATCTCGTTGAAATCTTGACGGATTTACAAACGGTTTGGTTTCTTACAAACGTTATTAACGTGGCTATAATTATCTGGATTATTTATTTATTTATTTATATACTTTTTATTCATAAGTATGCAGTGTCATAACTACATCTCTGACGTTTATAACAAAACAAACCGTTTGAAAATCGGTATAAAATTGAGCAAGTTATGGTCATTTAAATAGTACATGTACCATTAACACAATGTTACGAGTGAGCGAGCTACCTGTGACAAGATGGCCGCCAGGTGCAGACGTCGACCTCAATTGGCCAGTAGCTTGGACGACATATCTAGCCTTTATATAGATATCTATGGCCAGAATGACTCTGCAATGCTTTGCGATGTCGATTGTCGAGTGTCCCGGTCCCACTACGGCACGGAAGAAGGAAGACGTATTTCAGGAGCCGTGTGGGACAGGGCCCGTGTCACCTCACTCTGACCACACCACATCAATTAGGTCACAGCGCCACCTATTGTTCAAAGGTGATAAACCATTAAATCATATTACTAGTGACTGTATTTATGATTTTTTTTCACGAGGACCGCGGATCAGATCTCGTTATGAGTAAAGAAAACTAAAGGGTGAATATCATCACAAACACAAAATTTTCTCATTGAGAATCAAGCTCTAATTTTGTCAAAGTATTTTTAAAAAGCGTGAAAATGTGATTTAATTGTGAATTTAAGATAGTTATGATTATGAAACAAGCTTCCAGAGGGAAACGACAGATCTCCTGTGAGGTCTCCACTGTTGGACAGATTACATTGATGAAGGAGAGTGTGTGTGTGTGTGTATATATGATTTATAATGAATTGTCTGCAGGGCTGAAGAGGAGACGCCGCCTGGTGACACTTACAATAATACTCATTAATTAACATAAACTAGAATGAACAGTACTTCTACAGCATTTATTAATCTATTAATGTTAATTTATAATACATTATTACAATCAAGGGTTGTATTAGCATAAGTTCATCCACTGTTAACTAACACGAACACACAATGAACAGCTGTTTTCACTAATATAGTAATACATGTATTGCTCATCGTTAGTTCATGTTAGTTAATACATTAACTAAGTTAAGTGTTACCAATTGTTTTCAGTTAATACATTAACTAATGCTAACTAATGCTTATTGTAAAGTATTACCGACTGTTTAGCTTACTTATACGTGTAAGGCCAGACTTGAATTATCAATCAATAAGAGAGATCTGAATCTGAACATGATGACACACACACACACACACACACACACACACACACGCACCTGTACTGCCACCACTACCACAAACAGGCGTTAAAGCTCACACACACCTTCCCGGTGGCGTCGAACAGCTCCGCGGGCTCGGGCTCGTGTTCTCCGGCTTGCGGGGACAGCAGGAGCCCCGGGTCCCAGTCCGGGAACGGGTTCGGGAAACTGCGCTCCTCCATCGCGGACTCCGAGCCCGACACGAGCTTCAGGCGCTTAGACATGTTCTCGCCCATCGCGACGGCGGCCCGCCAGGGACACACGCGTACGGCCGAAACGCGTTTGGGTTTCTGATGCTGGTCCTGATGCTACAACCGCTGATGATGAGGCTCACAAGTCTCGATTCCTTTAGCATGAAAAATGTGTAGTAAGTTATAACAGCAAATCCAACAGGTATGAACTGGTTTCGATTGCATAGGAAATCATGTTATAGGCTATATTTGAATAGGCAATATAACTGATACATCGAAAATAGCCTATAGTTAAACATAGTTAAAAAATTATATTTATATAAAGGGGCATTCACATATGTTTACCATATCATGTGAACCACATTTGTTTAGATTTATTAGTTAATTATAAGTGATACATTTTTATTATTAGTTATTATAAACCATTTTTAATGCAGTTTATGTCTATTGCATGAGTTTGTTCTCTTTTGTAACTGTTCTTTGCATGTTATTATTGATCACAGTTCCTGAGACCAATATGAAGGTATCATGTGCCCTCTACGAAAATAAGTAAAATAAGCCTTTATTAAACGAGCAGTGATAGTGTAAACATTGCATTTTCCCTAATAGGCCTATTGATTTATAACCCATAATATGGTAGAAAAAATAACAGAAGCATTGTTCAAAGGAAAGTGGATTAAACAATCGCTATCTTATGACAGCAAACGATTTATTTTTACAATCTGTAGACCACTTTTTGGGTAAGATATTAATTAAATGCACATATGCGCATGCTCAGCTACACATATTGATAGCTGCAATTGGTTGGTAGTAGTACAGTTAACATTATACGATTTCATGACATAGGCTACAGTTATTATGAGCTGTAACGCACATCTAAACGCTTGTAATATCACCACCGTGTTTTTAAGGTAAGTTCCGGCACGCGCACGCAAATCATGCGTCAACAGCAGTAAATGCTCGTGCATTCATTATGTGTTCATTCATGAGATCCGGACACGTTTGACTTACATTCTCACATCCTCGAACAGCAGATCTCAGATCAGTGATCGATCAGGTGCAGCTCTCATCGATACTCCCAGATCGCACACAGTCCTTTCCCTTCTCATTTCCGGGCTTTGACTTTCTCTTCTCTCTTCTCTCTCTCTCTCTCTCTTCTCTCACACACACACACACACACACACACACACACACAAAGAGAGAGAGAGGGGGGGGGGGGCACCAGAGCAGAGGATGATGATGATGATGATGATGTCCTGCCTCTATCTTCTTGAGCACATTTGATCCATAAGAGGAACAGATGGCGATCCCGCTCCAGCATCCGGGATTATACAGCAAACAAATCCATGAAGCCCTTCTGCCTCTCTCTCTCTCAGTCTCTCTCTCACACACACACACTCTCTCTCTCACACTCTCTCTCTCTCTTCTCTCTCTCTCTCTCTCTCTCTCTCTCTCTCTCTCTCTCTCACACACACACACACCTCTCTTTCTCTCTCTCACACACACTCCTCTCTCTCTCTCTCTCTCTCTCTCTCTCACACACTCTCTCTCTCTCTCTCACACACACACACACACACACACATTTATTCTTTTACATCGGGTGCTATGCAAAAGTGAAGGAGATTTGCGACTAAACTTTGATAAAATGTTAATATATCAGTCTTTTTACTCATTATTGTCATGTAGCCTATTCTCTCTATTGGAGACTTAAATAAATCCATTGGCGCTGCACTGTGAAGAAATGTTATTGGTTTAACCTAAAAAGTTATCGGATTGCCTTAAAATATCGAGTTCTTTGAAATAAAAAAAACTTGAGTTAATGCAATGGAGATTGATTTAATCGACAGACACTCAAAATATGTTATCTCAACTACATTAATTAACTTTGATTTGACAAAAAGAAACAAAAGTTGTAATAAATCATGAAAATATGTTTTTACAGTGCGGTCAGTATCAATAAATGCCGTGGGGTTGTTGTATAATAGGCTGTAATACAGAGAGATCACATGGGTATTGTTGACTTGTAAATCTTCTGAAGAGATGCAAGATTTTGCGTTGAGATTTTACACACACACACACACACACACACACACACACACACACACACACACACACACACACACACACACACACACACACACACACACACACACACACATCTTCAGTTTCGGCCAATCTATATATAGAGTCCATCTGTGCTTCTGAGCGGGATGTCCATATACTTCTGCTGCTCATCTCCTTATTTCTGTAAGATTATAATGTTGTGTGAAAATCTTCAAGTGTTATGAAATGACCTCCTCAAAACACACACACACACACACACTCATCTGGACATGTGTGTTTGGGACTGAGGGACACACACGCCTGGTTTCGGGATGATTGGACCTGCAGTCCGTGACGTGTGTCATGTTTAATGTAATTATAATTCCCTTGTAGATGAACGGGGAAATTCTTATATTAGATTTTTATTCATCACGATTATTCGCATCCAAAATAAAAGTTTGTTTCTATAATATATGTGTGTGTACTGTGTATAATTATTTTGTGTACATAAACACACACGCATGTATAAGAAAAATTTGTTAATTATATAAAATATTTATATAATATAATGTGCACTCTTAAAAGAAATGGATCTATTTAGAACCAGAAATGGTTCCATCCCCCGCTTCATATTTGGAACTCCAAAATGGGTCTATATAGAACCATTTTTTTGGTAAAAGGTTCTATTGGCCAAGTATGGAACCCCAGGGTTCTATATAGAAACCAGAGGAACACTTTTTTTAAGAGTGTATAGAACCTTTTAGGGGTTCCAAATACGTAGCGCTGAAAGAACGTTTTAAGGTTCTATATAGAACCTTTTCTTCTAAGAGTGTATATGTAAATATATATATATATATATAGTCTATACATGCAAATATTTCTTAAATATATACATGCTTGTGTCTGTATTTATGTACACAAAATAATTATACACACTACACACACATATATTAGCCTATATAAACAAACTTTTATTTTGGATATTTATATTAAATATGATTAATTGCGATTAATTGTTAAATTGTATCCCCCAGATACAGATAAATCCCAGATTTTCAGTGTGTTCTTCTCAGATATATGCAGAAACTTATAATGACAGCTCACAAAATGCGTCCATCAAATGCACAATACTGCATGTTTGTGAGTGACGAGCTGTGGAGCAGCAGTGTCCTCTGCTGGACGATCCGAGTCCCACACCCTGAGGAGTCGCACGCTTGCACTACTACAGCTCTTCAGACATATCTGAGGATCCTCCTGCACGCTCCAAGCTCAGCGTCTGACCTGTACGTCACAAAACTGCCCATACTTCACCGCTGCACTTGCAGAGACGATCTCTGACTCCTGCTATTCCTGGCGTGAGGACAGATCACTGGAAATACACTTCTACAAAGCGTCTCTCACATCAACTCAAGGCACTATGACAGTTCTAGCTTATAATATCTTGCGTCTGCTGTTGCTTCTTTCCTTTGAAAAGCCTGTGCTTTAATAATGAAGCCCCGCAGAGAAACTAAAGCCCACAGACAACACTTTTCAGTAATGCTTTGACAATTTAAGGGGAAACGTTCTTTGAAAAACATTTACAGAACATTATTAGGCTAATATCTGATTAATAATCTGATATCCTGAAATTAAGAGACACATTCTTAGAACAACATCTGTATTATGCCATTTTTACCTGAACACTGATAACGTTAAGAAAAAGTTCTGAGAACATGTTCATTTAGTCATTTGTACTTGATGACCTTTATGACCTTCCTGGAATGTTGCAAATAAACACGTAAAGAGTTATGTTAAGAGGACATTGTACTAACATTATTGTTACCTTTTAAATAATGTTCTGTTCACAAGACAACTGTACCTTGGCATTAGAGATGAGCTGAAATGAGTCCTGTATTTCCTCTCTCTGCACAGGAGAATCGCACGGCTGAAGACACACGGGCTTTTGAATATCTGAAGTGCCAGAGAGAAAGAAGTGATGAATAAAAGAGAGAAAGAGTGAAGGTATGGGCATATAATGAGTGAAATGAGCGGAATAGGATTCACCAATCGATATCCTCATGTTTTATTGATTTCTTCATTGTTGGGCAGAAATCAGATGTTCTGTGGAGTTGCTCTGATCTCAACATTAGTTTCAGATCTAACTAGAAATGTAGTCCATAATAAACACTGCAAGCCAATTCCATTCATTTTACAAGGCATATTTCAACTCTGCTTGAAATAAAAGAACAGGTCTGAGTTACGTCTGCTGTCATCAGAAATCACAGAGGGCAGAGTTAATCAGGAAAGTTGAAGTTTAAAATAATACAAAGTAAAATTAAGTTACACTGAGTGATATAATGTTGATATAATATAATTCACATTGTGAAAAAAATGTTGCAATTATGACATATAGAGTCATGGTTGTTAAATATAGAGAAATAAAGTCACAATTGTGAAATATAGAGAAATAAAGTCACAGTTGTGAAATATAGAGAAATAAAGTCATAGTTGTGAATATAGAGAATTAAAGTCACAGTTGTGAGATATAGAGAAATAAAGTCACAGTTGTGAGATATAGAGAAATAAAGTCACAGTTGTGAGATATAGAGAAATAAAGTCACAATTGTGAAATATAGAGAAATAAAGTCACAGTTGTGAAATATAGAGAAATAAAGTCACAGTTGTGAAATATAGAGAAATAAAGTCATAGTTGTGAGATATAGAGAAATAAAGTCATAGTTGTGAGATATAGATAAAGTCACAGTTGTGAGATATAGAGAAATAAAGTCATAGTTGTGAAATATAGAGAATTAAAGTCACAGTTGTGAGATATAGAGAAATAAAGTCATAGTTGTGAGATATAGATAAAGTCACAGTTGTGAAATATAGATAATTCTATATATAATATATTTCACAATAAATTATTCAGGCATGGTATAAAAGTTATAATAACAATAATAAAAGCTCAGGCACACACATTTTTATACAGAGCCATTGGGGACTGAAAAAATATGAATATGAGAACTTTAACATAATCTTGTCGCAGTATTGCGTTCCCCAAAACTTTGTGTAAACATATAGTTCTTCCACTTCTCCATTATTCCCATCGAAAATGTTTAGGGAGTAAATGCAAAGTTTTATTTGTTTTTATATTGAAATATAATTTGTCCTCCTATCTCATTGTTTGGGGGTCCCATATTTTTACTCATTCCTTTGAAACCCTTTCATAAAATATAAAAGTAATAAAATTATAATACAAATAATAATTTAAAGAAGTTTCAAATATTTATTTTAATATTTATATTTATTATTTTCTTGATTGAGTGAAAACTGATTCTTGTTTGGAGCAAATACAGTAATATATATATATATATATATAGTATATATATATATATATATATATATATATATATATTTGAAGAGTTCAGGTGCAAAAGCCTCTAAATGCCATTTGAAATTTTCTTCTAAAATGACCATTTTTATCAAGCATGCATATTTAAGTTCAGTAATTTCACTTAAATGACAATTAATAGGTAATCTTCATTGCCATTTAAGTGAAATTACTGAACTTAAATATACAAGCTTGCAAATGGCACTTAGAGGCTTTTGCATCTGAACTCTTCATATATATATATATATATATAGGCAGGTACGAAATGAAACTAAGACAGGCATAAAGTTTGAACATGTTGTTTTATTCACACCATCTCTATCACTATGTTAGAAAGAACGTGATCTTCACTCCGCTATAATCCTATGCAGTTCATCTGTACACACTAGAAAAAGTCGATATAATGCTTTAGAAATTAAGCGAGGTGTGTGTAACGCCACACACACACACATCTCAGCTCTCGTGTTTTTCTTCTTTTGTTATTTTTTGGAAAAGAAACAGTACAAGGCATTTCTATACAGCTGAGGAGGCATTAAAGGACACATAATTCATACAGAACAAAACAAAAAAAAGAGGAAATAACAAAACCAAATAATGGTTTAATAAAGGAATATACTGTTTGGACAAAAACACAATAACATTGACAGGTTCCAGCGACATTAAACTTCATTCAGCATTTCAGAAGAAACGAAACTGCAAACGAATCCGTTATATACACTGAGGTATAAACACATTGG